GCAGAAATTTTCCATGACAGTTTTGAACGAATTTTGTTGATATACCACCCAATTTCCTCCCTCAAAGCGGGGGTGGTCGTGGGATTGTTGGCATAAACTTTAGACTTCAAAATGCTCCAAAGAAAAAGGTCCAATGATGTTACATCGCATGATCTAGGCCAAATCTGGTCACCCAAACGGGAAATTACACAACCAAGAAATGACTCATTCCGTAATTGAATTGTTTCTTGGGCTGTATGGCATGTGGCACAACTTTGTTGAAATCACATGTCGTCTATATCCATATCCAGACAAAACAGGATATCATGTCGCGATCGAAAGCACTATTAACTGTTATTGCCTGAAGAGGAAAGGTCCGATGATGCTTCCAGCCCAAAATCTGCACCAAACAGTGACAAGTTGTGGATGTATTTGTTTCTCAACAATCACTCGTGGATTTTCTGACAATTTTGTCGATTGACGAACCCATCAAGATGAAAATGGGTTTTAGCTCTGAAGATGATTCTGTACGAAAAATCAGCATCAACACGTTCAATAATTCAATGAAATATTTCCGCTTCTTGAACTTTGTAAGCACGAAGATGCAAATCTTTCATGAGAATACGCTGTATGTAAGTACATGTCCAATTCTCGGCCACGGTGCCGAATTGATGTTCTTGGACTCTCAGCAACACTCTCTCGATGTTTGTGTTGAACTACTCGTTGAAGGACGGTCCGAGTATTTAAGATGATTAATTGATCCAGTTTCTCCGAATTTTTAATTAATTCCTTCACTGTTGAAGTAAAATCACTATTCCGATCATATTTTTACGAAAATTTTCAATAACCTTGAACTAACAGCTGTCACGCTGTCTTTTTTTTCGCTGGCAACACGTTACGGCACAAATAGCCCTAAATTCAAATCTTGCATGAATTTTGGGACACGCGATACTTATACAGGGTGTTTCAGAACTTATCAAAAAAAAATGGATGTACAGGGGACTCTTACAATTATAATTTTGTAAAGAAAAAAATCAAAAGGGGCAGTTCGAAAATGATTTAAAAATACACTTCTGCACGATACAGGAAACTGGTCCACTGTAAAACGGACAAAAACATGAAAGGAATACATAGAATTTTATAGCACCCATTTTATATCAGCAAATTCAACTGCTTTTGCCGCTATTGTTATTATTAATTAATAAAATTAAAGTGTTGTTTTAATTAATAAAATAATGACATAGCTGATGTTGAAACAGCTGTTCAAAATTTTGTCCACCGGCGTGTAAACACATTTGGGCCCGTCTTACTCAGTTTGCTTCACTATAACACAAATGTTTTCTTGCTTCAGCATAAATTAAAACGATATCCATCAACTCCGAGTTGCTTTACACGCAAGCCATTTTTGACACTAACTACTAAAAAAACTATTGTAAACACTATCGCAACGACGATTGTAAAATCGGATTTTAGAATTCGGAGTCGCTAATACCACGTGGCTCTCCACGCGTATTGCGAATGACGCTAGCGACTACAGCTGTCCAGCGATGTAATGCTTGAAAGTACTACAACTTCAATAATTTTTTTCTCGGAATCTATAAGGATTTTACAATTTTTTTTACGTTATTGACTCAATTTCTCATGCCGCATCTGTTCCCAAATTTTTTTTATAAGTTGTGAATCTCCCTGTATATACTTGTACCTACAGCACACTACTGCTAAAAATGAAAAGTGAATCAAAGAAAGCAATTATTTTGCACAAAGAGAAGTGTACATTGTATGAGAAATAAAAGAAAAATAATTTAATGTCGTGGGTCATGGAAATAATATGATATCTGATCCGATTTTAATCTTGCAGTGCTATTTTTAATCTTCCCGAATTGAATAAATGGAAATTAGAAATAGTACTTTCTACAAATTTCTATTAAAAATATTACTTTTAAAAGTACCCATTATTTTTGTGAAGTAATACGAAATATTGGCAAAGTACAAGAATGTCCTATTAGTTATCGAAAGGTAACCTTTAGAATATAAAATTTCAAAATTATTCCGAGAGGTCTTCATTTCCTAGAGGATGTAACTACATATCTTTAAGAAGTCATCCTTTGAGGCATTTTAAACCAAAAGTCGTGACGAACTAAATGTCTATAGTCGCTAGATTAAAAATAAATAAGTATATAATTTGGTCTTTAATAAAAAAATTACTAAACTAAGTACATAGACTGAGTACTACTTGTGCATAGACTAGAAAACATCCTTGTATACCGCACAAAACCTGTCCTTTTTCTATATAAAACATTTATTAGACAACTTTTTATGTGATGAAATGAAATGAGAAACCGAGATAATTGAAACGTATAGAAATAAAAATGTCTTTATCTTAAGCTGACAGATAATATGTGTGTTGAGATTTGCAAACAACCTTTTTGAATTGTGCTGTGTTATCAGTAGTAATACTATAAGTAGGTACTTCAAAATATCGGTTACATCATAGATTTGGTAGTTTACTATGGATGGAACGTAGAGATAGGGGGGGGGGGGGGGGGGGGTAAGGAGTCAAGATATAAAATGAGATGAAACTTGTCTCACATTATTTAAGTTATTGTAAGGTTTTTGAGCACTTACTTTATTTGTTGTCCAGGTCTACAGCGATGACAGGACAAAGAGGGATAGTCCTCCTTAATAATCGCGGTTTAATTTTAATGTTTTTGTTTAATAGTGAAATTGCATAAGATTAATTTAATAGTAAGGATAAGGTAAAGTTTTATAATCAAAAGCAATAATTTGTAGATACTTTGAGAAACATGTTAAAATAATGTTTTGAGCATTGGAAAGAAATATATACACATTCAATCCAGACACACCCTTACGTGCAAAACAGTATACTACCAAATATACATACAGGATGATTCAAAATTCAGTACAAAAAATTTAGGGGCGTATTTTTGAGGTCATTTTTCCTATAAACAAATACAGGATGTTAAAGTTTTCATTTTTTTTTATTTTTTAGGAATAATTTCCAAGCAAATTTGAATGTTGTCATAAAACTTGAGGTACGGGTTTTTTTAGGACGCTAAATTTAAATATGTGACTGGTTTTGACGCTACTTGAATACCTATAAAGGTACGCGTGAATTAAATTGGCCCTAACTTTTTTGCTGCCCTGTACATTAACGTTTCGTATTAGTGCGTTTATTCCTCTATCAATTTTAAGCAAAAAAGGTATACTTGGTCGAAATCTCTCAGGCCAACCGTTTCCGAGATATTGGCTGATGAAGAGTTAAATGCACACCATATTTTAAAATTTTATTATTTACCATGAAAAATTTTAAAATTTATTCACCATCTAATCAGTAATGACCTTGAATTTTAGCTCTTTATTCGGAAATTCTTAAATTCAAAATGAGAGATCCATTATGGCGTATTGAAAAGTACCACAGAAATTCCACCCAAGGAAATGCGTTATAATGTTTAAAAAATTGCGTCATTTGATTAAAAATAGGCAAATGTCTAAAAATGAGACACAAAGAATGTAAATTCGGTTTGCAGTGTGCTACCTCTTTCAAATCCCAGCAGGGAAATATAAAACGCATAAAATGAGTAAGATTTTAGAGCTAAAAATATAAATGTGATCATTCGAGTAGCAAACTGTTTCAACTAAATTCTAACTGACATTTGTAGGGATCACAAACTACACCTCCTGAGTTAGAAAGGTACAGAACTTCTTTTGTGGGGCTCAGAGCTGGGCAAAACACTTACAAAATACAAATTACAAAATACTAGTACGAAAGTATTTTAAATTATTTAAAAAACAAAATACTTCTTTGGCAGAGTATTTTAAATATAATTTACTTAGTATTTAAAATAGTATTTTAAGTATGTTAAATATTAAATATTCATTAACAGTATTTAAATATTTTTGTGAAATATTAAATCTTAAACTCTTAAGATGTAACTTAAAAAAAATATATTGTATGTATAAGGTAAGCCCGATTTCAAGATCATCAAAAAATTAAAAAAACTGGCCATGATTACTGAGATGCAGAATATTTAATTCACTCATAATTTTTATTAGTTTTTTTTTGATGATAAAAGAAAGCAATTTTAAATTTTGATGATTGTCTACTGACATGACTAGTGATGATAGTGACGTAAAAGGTAGTAGACAGGATAGCAATAACACAGCGCAACATTGCAAAATGCAGAGTAGAATGCGCTAAATTCAGGCGTGCAGATACGTATTTTTTTAGTACGTGTTGTACCAGTCGCCAGTCGTAATAGACAAAAAGTATTTGTTTTTGGTAGGTATTTTAAATACTTCGTGTATTTTAAATACTCAAGAGTATCTAGATCAATTTTTTTATCTAAATTCATTTAAATATTTTGTGTAATACAAGAACATTGCGTTCTAGTACCAAAAAAAATATTTACGATGTATAAAATAAAAAATTGTAAAAACACACTGAAAATTTACAAAAAAAACACATTGGAGATTTACAAAAATTCTGTAAATATACCAAAACCATATTTTGCAACACTGTAAATTATATCCGTTACAAGTCCTTGTGAAATTACTGGTAAAATAATGGGTAACGAAATACCCATTATTTTACAAGTAAAATTACAAAAAATAGTTTTCTGTGTATCTCGCAAGTGATTTGCAAAATAGAGTTAGTTTCTTCGACCCAGATCGATGAGATTTTTCAGTTTTATCGGAAATCCACTTTCAGTTTAAAACGAGGCAACTGAAACCACATTAATTGGCCCTGAAAACCGCATCTACTAACTTTATTCAAATATTATCGAACTGGTTGCCAGGGTTACCATGCACGGCACCAATGCTAAGTACTGTGGCACGCTCGGACTCAGAACTATTCCTACCCTTACCGTGCCTGCCTTGATTGCTCTCTGGAGTTTGCCGCAACGTGAGTTCCACGAAAACAAACAAATAAATAAACAGTCGAACGTTTCGTTTCACATCGCTGTCTTGATATGTGACGCATAAAAACGGGTGACGACGAGATGACTCCGGAGACTCCGTCTAGTTCGGGAAGTGACACCACCAGGCCTGCTATAAGTGCCGAGGAGAGGCTGATGGTGGCCGTAAGGATAAGGCCCTTGAGGCAGGACGAGTCGGCGAGGATTTTGTATGCTCTGGACAAGAAGGTGGGTACTGTGATGATGGTTTTGTCTGGTAAAGAAGTTAACCAATCTTTCCAAAAGTGTAGCTGCTGCTGCATTGCAGATAACATCTCGGTTGTATTCTGCACACAGTACTTATACAACAAAAAAGTATAGACGAGTAAAATATTACAAGAAATTTAGACAATTTTAAGTCCAGCACAGAAAATATGTAAAATTTATCGCGTTGCAATTTAGTACGTTTTAATACTAGACCAGAGCGGAACTGTCGAAATATCCCACTTCTTGGAAAAAAGTTTTAGAATTGAATTTTGTATAATATACTGCAAGTTAAAAATGTTTAAATTTATTACCGATATTGCAAAATAGCAATAATTGATAAAAAAAAGGCAAAATAATCAAGTTTTTTGGATAATTTTTTAAAAATATTTTAATTGCTTCGAGGGCATTCTAATTTTGGTAAAAAAACTTTAGAGTATAATAAAACAACACAACAAATTTCATTAAAATCGGTTCGATAGTTTTCGCAAAATAATTTTTTGAAAAAATTTTCGAATATTCAAAATGTTGCACAGCCTCAAATAAAACATCTAGATACCGGAACATACAAAAGACCGCACAACCTTTCAAATGGTTTTTGAAAAATTGAAATCGGTTGATTAGGACGGCCACAGTAAATACGTACGAGTAGTTCGACGCCCCAAAAATGCCAAAATGACGAGATTATGTTTCCTCTTACATGCATGTCGGATAAAAGTAATACATGATGGAATAATGTATTTTAGAACGAAAAGTAGTAGAGTCCGACAAAAGCATCGGGTTAAGACGCCAGTCCGACAAGAAAACAAAAAAAATATTGTTAAGAAATTGCATCTTCTTTTTACCCTTTTCTATTTAGATTATTTTATTAGATTATTAGATTATTAGATTATTAAGAGACTATGCCTCTTCGCTTCGTTTGCTGCCCCATTAACAACTATCTTTAATTTATTAATAAAAACTTCGTGTTATCCTGAAGGTTGGAAACTATCTAGAGTGTGTCCAGTGCACAAGAAGGGCAGTAAGAATGAATTGGTTAATTACAGGCCAATTTCTATTATTTGCAATTTCTCCAAAATATTTGAGATTCCATTACATGACTTTTTATACAGATTCTTGTCCGGGCTGTTGGCGTGGGAGCAACACGGTTTTATTAAGGGCAGATCCACTGTTACTAATCTTGTCCAAAAAACTCAGTTCATTAGCGAAAAACTTGACAAGATGAAACAAGTCGATGTTATCTATACCGACTTCACTTAATTAAATCTTTTGACAGACTCGACCACGACCTCTTGCTGTACAAATTAGATGGGTTTGGTGTGTCCGAATCGCTTTTGCAACTTTTTGAATTATATTTACAAAATAGGTATCAGTTTGTTCAGCATCGTGGCTTTAAATCGCACAAGTTTCATCAAATATCTGGTGTGCCTCAAGGATCTATACTTGGACCCTTACTCTTTGTTCTTTTTGTAAACGACATCATGGTTGATCTACAAGTACACCATTTAATGTATGCAGATAACCTTCAGCTATTTTGCGAAATAAACACCATTGCCGACTGCTATATGTTACAGAATGCGCTTAATGTCATTAGATTTGTGGTGTCTAAATAATAATTTGACGCTAAATGCCTCCAAGCCTATCATTACATTCACCAAAAAAAACTGTACTATTCGATTATAAATTGGATAATATAATATTGCATAGACCCGATTACAATTTTACACTACATTATCTTTTACAAAACATATAGACATAATTGCGTCATCTGTTTTCGAGAATATGGGGTTCATAATAAGGAATTCCAAAGGCTTTTATCAGTATTTCTACACTACGATTGCTCTACACTACCTTTATTCGTTCTATATTAGAATATGCATCAATAGTCTGGAATCCAATTTATACTAATCAAATTGCAACTTTGGAAAGAGTACAGCGTAGGTTTATGAAATCAGCTGTGTACTTATTGGATGGTACATATCCCTCTCAGGTTTTCCGCTTGATCTATTACTTGAGCGTTTCAATATTCATGTCCTTGCTAAAAGAACATCTGTTTTTCAAGTAATGTTTTTGTATAAAGTTCTACATAACATTTTGGACTGTCCAGGTGTTTTAAGTAATATTGATATCAAAGTACCGCGACTATCAGCTAGATGTAATAATGTTTTTACTCTACCCGTAGCACCTAGTAACATCCTAGTATCAAATTGTTACAGTAAGATAGGAAATAATGTCGATTTTTTTTGTTGTTTGCCTAATGATATAAAAATGCTTTACTTATGTAATCATATATGTCTTTTATAGTTTGTTGCCTTTTTATTTTGTTCTTTATATCTGTGTTATTTGTAGTTTGTACTATTTTTTTCTTTCTCTTTTTTTTTCATCCTGTTATTGGGTATCGCCTGTTGGATGTGTATTTTAAATAAATAAATAAATTGAATAAATATTATGCGTTGTTCTTTACATCATCGTCTTCCTCTTTTACACCTTTTTTTGTTCTTTGGTCAGTACATTATTTATAGTTAAATGTTATATTTTATTTGCTAGTGACACAGTGATGATCTTATATAATGTTGACAAACATGTAANAATAAATAAATAAATAGATAAACAGTACATACTCCTAAATATTTCTACACACACACTTACTTGATTTAAAATCCTTCGTATATACAATCACTTAGTAACATAATAATATAATTTCCACCAGAAAATCCGGAAAATTAGGAAATCTAAAATCCCAACATTTCTTTAAATCTATGAGAAAAACGACAAACATGATTTGTAGACCAATTGAACAACTTTGGCAAACTTTTTGAAACTCTGATATACGATTCACTTTACTTTCAAATTAGATCACAGATATGTGACTGAAATATTTGATTCTGGCGGACAGATTTTTCTAAGGCGTTTGATCATCTTAGTCGTAATATCTTGTTAAATAAAGTTAAGTACGTTTGGTTTCACATCTCCCATAATAAAATTTTCAGTCTTTCCTTGTTGACAGATATCAATTTGTATATTATAGCGGCTTTGCATCCAACAATATTGTTGCTTCCTCCGGAGTGCCTCTAGGCTCTGTATTAGGACCATTGCTATCCAATATTTATATTAATGATGAAACAGTATTATAATATGCAGATGATTTAAAATTACTCACTTCAGTTCGCAGTAACGACGACCTAATTAAACTTCAAAACGATTTAACATCTCCGTAAAGAGTTATTATTTGTTGTTAATTTTACCTTGCTCCGATACGTAGACTGATACGTAGATAAAATTGGAAATATTCAGATCAACTCATACTTTTCAAATAATTGCCAGATTTTTAACATATTATTTACTTTTGAAACTTGAAATGTTTGCATGTTGGTATTACTGTCATGATAGATAGTTTTATGGTGTAGCTTATTCCTGTAATATATTTACTAACTCGAGTATACAAAAGCATTTTAAATCGCTAAAAAATAACACATATTTTCATAAAATATTGTTTCATTCTAGTAGGTATAATTTTGTCAGCAATTTCAAAATACGGATAAGTTTAATATTATAGTGATCTGTCTGTGTTGAATATTTCAACTGCATACATACATATTTCAAAAGTATTTACAAGTAACGATTTCATATATGTTTTATTACTTCTTTATGCTTATTCTTCGTATAAAGATTAGATTCTAAAATTGATTATTTTACCTATATTGTTGGAAAGGATGTAGCAAAGGTAAATAAACATTATTATTATTATTATATATATTTTGTCAAAAAGTAAACAGACAAATAATAATTGATGCTAAATAAACTTCACGTATGAAATCAAATAATATACCTATTTCTACTTCAAAGACATGACAGAAATGTCACGTTTTGACAACTTAAAATTAAAGACGAACTCTTTTGAAATTGAATAGGTATACTTTATACGAATATAATAAGTATTAGTATTATTTAAATAAATCATACCTACATGATTAAAAAAGGATAAGAAGTATCAAATCAATACTTCTTTTTTTAAGAAAAATGATCCATCATTTCATTTACAAATAAGCCCTTTATTGAACAAATGAGAAAATTATTCAACAAATTATTACTATTACATTCAAATATTAAATTATACCCAACCTTCAAAATAAATATTAAATTAGCTTCAACCCCCTGGTTTTTTTACTAAAATAATTAATAATACGGTGACAGCCCATTGACCTTGAACCCTAAAACTATTGTTCAAAGCAGAACTCCATTACCCTAAAACAATAGCGTTGTAAAATATTGAATAGCTGCTATAAAATAACCAATTAAGTAGCGAAATTTTTACTGAAAATGCTATTCAATGTGGATATTGTTATCTCTATTACCATTATCGAAAAATCAGTACAGGGATTGTGTTTGTGAGAACGGCCTTAAGGGGTAGCCTATTTAAATGCAAATTAGGGGTTAGGCACGGAAGATTGTCGTAGAATTCGGTCTAAAAATACGGTTCAAAACTGCGAGGTTTTATTGGTGTCTTGATAATAAAATAAAAACATAGAAATCCGAGGAAAGAGAAATGAATTTAAAATTTTATTGAAATAGACCATATTCCAAAGTAAATGATTTAACTTTAACACGGAGCGTAAAAGAAAATCTACATACAGGGTGATTCACTTTTTATGATTTTACTTACTATTTTAGCCATCGATAGATCTCGTGAAAATAATGTAATTTTGAAATATACACTTTTTCTTCCAAAGGCTACCTTTTAGGGATATACGCTCTTGAAAAAACATTTTTTTTGGTTTTTATTTATTTTTTCTAAAACTATGAAAGCCATTTGTTTTATATTTAGTATGAAGTGTACGAATGAAAAGCTCTATCGATTTTACAAATTATTGTGAAAATAGATCAATGATAAAACGTTCGTAAACAAAGAAGATTTAAATATTTTACTCGATCGTCAGATCTAAATCCCATGGATTATTTCGTTTGGGAATATATTAAAGAAAGTTTGTACTTTTGAAAGGTTAAGAAGAATTGAATATAATTGTGAAACTCTTAAACACAAACTCAATATGATTAGGAGAGTAGTTCAAAGCTTAATTAGGCGATGTGAGAAATGCATGAGGTTCGAGGACATTTCGAACATTTTTGTTATACCTTTTCTTTTGTTCTCTATTGTTAATTGTTATTTCTGTTTGTCTCTCAATATTAAATATTTTATTCTGTATTACTTTGAAAAACTTAACCATTCCACAATGAATCCATACGAAGAAATTTTTCTCAAAAAACATGCATTTCATTTAAAAATAGTAAGATACTTATTTGTTGACAATATAAAATAGGGGTTATCAGAGCCCATTATGGACGCCTATGATTTATTTACTTTCACAATTATTTCTTAAATCGATTCGTACACTTCATACTAAATATAAAACAAATGGCTTTCATAGTTAGAAAAAAATAAATATAAACCAAAAAATAAAAACCAAAAAGAAGAAAATGGTCATATATATCTCTAAAAGGAAGACTTTGGAAGAAAAAGTTTACACTTCAAAATTACATTATTTTGACGAGAACTATCTAAGGTTATCATATCTTAATCATAAAAAGTGAATCACTCTGTATATTAAATGTACATGTAAATAATCTATATTATACAGGGTGAGGTATTCATAATGGGACAGAACTGAATTCAAAATAAAACGATTAAGTCAAATATGCCTCATCCGAATATTGCTCCTTTTCGATCTAAAGAGTTTTTTTAAATATCTTGAGCATATTTGAACCTATTGTTTTGAAATTTTGCCAGCCTATATATCCAGAGGTGGCAATTACGAAAATGATAACTATTTTATACTCTATTCAATGTAAGACAGAATTTTACAAGAGAATATCAAAATATGTCAAATTTTTTTGTCCTTCAAAAATCTGAACTTCCAATAAGAAATTACTAAACTACGTTCAATACTAAATAAAAAAGATATATCTGTTAATAATCGAAAAACAACGGTTTTCGAAATAAAGACGATTTCCAATTTTGGGGTTTCAGTGGAGATTATATCAGAAAATTATTTGTTTCAGGGTGGCCCTTGAAGTACGTAGACGTAATTACGAATTAAGACAATAACAACAAAAAATTTTATTATGGTTACGTCTAACATACGAATTATAAAAGATTCTCAAAGTGCCCACCATTGACTTTAATACAATTTTTCATAACCAAGATTTATACAAAAATGTTAATATCGCATTTTTGATGCAATACATGTATGGTGTTAATAAAATTCGATTTTCTCAAAAACGGTACAAGATATCGACTGATATCCGGTATACCTTTTTTTAAACAAAGTGAGAGAGGAATCGAACTATGAAAGAAAAATACCAAATTTGGCAACGCTGTTAAATGAATAATTTCGTCTGCTCCTGTATAATCCAGGCATATTCAATATCAGTTTAAACGTGTAAATGAATATTACCATGAGTTACTTTAATTGCCCAAATTTCATTGTTGTCATGGTAATGACTTGAAAGTTATAATTGGAATTTGTTTTTCAAACTTCTTTCTTTGAAGGCGAATAACTCCACAACGAAGCCCGATAGGAATTTTTTTATGAAGTACTGCAACTATTTTGACCTCCTTTGTATATCTTTTCATTTTTGACATGACCTTTCTGGACATGTATACTTCCTAACATTCGAGAAAATGGCGAATGCGCCACGAATAAAATTATACCTACTTAAAAACATCCAACTTATTTGAAAGCATTTTCTTTTAATATGTCCTATAGTATTCCTGAAGACAACTACTCTGCGGACTAATGCCTCAACTATTCATAGCAATGTAGCAATTTGTTATATCTGATATTTTCTCCTTCACAAAATACGATAATGTCATAGTTCTTGTTGCGTTTTTGTAACTAGTAGTCTTATATTTTAATTGTCACTGCCGCTCAACGACTGCCAGGACTAAGTATTGCTTTGTACCTACTTGCAAGGAGCGACCTACTAATTTATAGATCCTATGAAAACATGATTAATTTACACTCAAAACATCAGTAAATATACCATAGATCCAAATAGCTGTGTATTGTTCGTTAGTCGTGGCATGCTGATGAGAATATATATTCATAAGTTCGAATCTGGTGAGTCCGCTGACGGATCTTAATCGTTCACTAGAAACTGCAGATATAATTTAATGCTAAATGGGGCTGTAGACAACAGAGTGTTTGTTTGCAACATCGTCACAAAAACAACATGTAAAATGTTTTTGAAACTTTAAACAAAGAAAGTAGTTCACTGATCACATAATTCAAGGTGAAGGTGACAATGAAGAGACAGGCTATATCCATCCCGAATCAATTTTGAAAAAGTTTAATCTATTTACCAACTACGTTTTCCGTAACAATGGTAATAGCCTACCACAGTGTAGAATTACGAGTCATTTTTCACTCACATTTTCTGTAATTGCAGCAATTAATCTTTCACAGACTCACACGCGAGCGGTGTTACTAAATTATGACGTTTAGTGTTAGCTAGCCATGCAAAGGGTTTATATGAATAAAAGGTAACAATTTTCAGCGCCCTGAAAAATTTTCAGTCGTAGAAAACTTGGACAAATGTAATTTTTATACTTTATGAGAGAGAACAGTCATTTAAAACGTTATTTTCTTTCAATTTTCATAATTTAACTGTCCGAATTCATGTTTTGGCCAATTAATCTAGGAATACCTGTATTCTGTAAATATAGACTTTGAAAGGAATATTAATAGTTTGGTTTGGTTGTCAAGTTGTTAATTTTAGAAAGTCTATAAAATTCAAATTTAAACAATGTCGCTAACTGGAACCATTTGATAACATTCACCTAATTTGGTAAAAATATAGTAAATATTTTTTGGAACTCCTGTAATCTTATATAACAGTAATCGTTATTATTTTGGAATGTAATTAATCAGTTGTTGCCATAATTTAATCCAGTGGAATCATCATAATTAGAAAAATACAATCTTGTAACGTGAATAACCTTCATTGATAAAATCTTGTATACATTTTTCGAGTTTTACTTTCGTCAAAATGTTAGACGTATTTGACCGATATCCAACCGATTCAGTTTTCAAGTAGGGCACCAATTTTAAGAATCTTTGAGGTCAAGGTTAAGGTTCAAGGTCACATCAAGATCAAGTCGGTTTTTTTAAATGACGACTACTTTTCGACCTTGGAAATGAGCAGAAAATTCTGCATCCGAATATGACATTGACCGTTACTTCAAAGTCATTGGGTAAGGGTCAGTGCAAGGTCAAATGTTGATTTTTATTGTAATTTTTAATTTTTAACTACAGAATCAGAGGGAGTGATAGTCTTTGAGGTCACTAAAAATTGTGAGTCCCTTCTATTCCATCGTCGAAAATAAAAAATAACAGCCGGAATAATCTCTTGACCTCTACCTGACCTTGACCGTTGACCTTAAGGTCACGTTTAAGATCATTATAACATGTAGAATTCTACGCTCTCTTATTTCTAGCGTCAAAATAAGGGGTCGCTACGCCAAAAACCGATATGACCTTGACATGTTCTTTCGACCTTGACCGCAAGATCAAGGTCACTAAGAAGAATGTAGTATTAATGCAGCTATTAATACTCTTAGGTACATCTATACATCATTAACACCGCTCTGTAATGTAACATTTAATACAGTTTCGTGTATTCTCTTGACATTTATATTTTATTCAAAACGTGGGTAATTTTAGGATAAGGAAGTCACTGTCCTGTACGAAAGCACGTCGCACAAGTTCCTATTCAATTTCAATAATAAATTAACCAGTTATCCTAATTATGACCCTCTTTTCTATTCCAGCACATTATTTTTGAGGAGTCAGACAAAAACGACCTCTTGAGGCAGAAGAGGGCCGTAGAAAAACAGTATTCGTTCGACGTGGTTTTTGGGGAAGACTCCACTCAAGAAGACGTCTATAAAGTTACCACTAGCAGTTTGGTTAAAGATATTTTAAATGGGTGAGTAAAAAAGTAGCAGTAAAATGTAGGTAAATAGGTATTGTTTTTACTTTATTATTAATTTTATCTAACCAATATTTGTTTTTTATGCATTTTTTTTTAAAAACATACATATATTATATATTCTCATATTTTTACTTGACTATATAAAGTTGCTTTAGAAAGTGGAAAAATTTTTACATATGGGAAAATGTTATGCAGTTTTTCTTTCATTTTTACAAAAATAGGTTTATCTTTTTGCAAGCAATGTTTAAAAAAATTTTAATTTACCTTAGTTGCTAATAAAAATATCATTTTTTTGTCAAATATTTAACATATCGTATCAATAACTTACAGTATGATAAAGAAATAGGGTTTTGATAGTATTGAATAGATTTTTTGCTTTTTCATGCATATTTTGTTTTTTATGACCTTACTTTAATAAAAAACATTTTTCCAGTTAGCAAGTTATGGATTTGAAATGCCAAGTTTTTTGTTTTTTTTATTTTATTCTATTAAAAACTATGTTTGAATCTCCTATTGCTGCTTCTAAATAATAGATCTAAATCGTATTTAATAAAACTATAGTTTTTTAATTATGCAAATACGTAGTAGATCTTTATCTGTCAAAATTGACACTGTTGTTTGTTTATGGTCATTAAGTTGACATTCAATTAAAAAGGAAGTCTTGATTAATGGATCCTGTGTTTTTGTTGACACTATTAAAGATTGACACGCATATCCAATGTAAATGGTATTGTTTCCATTTCGTGAAAGTCTTAATAGTAAATGAAAGTTATCAGAAATAAAAAAAATATGAAATAATTTTTTTCCATTGTGCTTTCAATTTATGTAGAATATTAATAAAGAAAATTCATAAAAATTTACAGAAAGACGTTTAGAATTTCTTTCTTAATTTTTCAGAATATTAGTAAACATTCCGTGATTTTAAAAAATTATTTAGGTATATTACTTGGAACGTTGAATATTTAAAAAGCTTTTACATTATTTGATTAATGTTTGTATCCAACTTCCGAGTATGGTAATAAAGTAAAGTACCTCATTCAATTCTTATGAAGTTTTCAATGCATTTGAATTGATTCTTTCATCAACTTCAAATTGTGCTTCCTCCTAGTTATTTATTGCAACTGTAATTTGTACGAGTTTGTACCGAAACCATAAACAGAATTAAGTTGCAATCAAAAATTCAATAATTTATTTATGGAAGAAGATCGTTAGGAAACAATCTATTAAACAACAGTGTGTTCTTGAAAGTCCAATTATACAGACATACAAAAGAATAAAGTAGTCCGTTCAGAATCTTTCATCGCTGTATTTTCGGATCCGTTGAATGCGAATCTGTAGTCAGTTTGGCACCAACTCCTGCCATTTTTGAGAAAATGGTCACTCGATTAAAAAAATTTTCGGTAATTTTTTTTAATTAACGCTTTTGCTTTTCTTCGAAAGATCTGTGAATTGGGTTTCTCTTTCTCTTTTTAGTGGTTGGTTCTGATTTCTGATTAGTCCCATAGCACCACGGCCTACTTGGTCCTAGTCAGCAAGTAGTTTTGTTCTTTTAAACAAAGTCCAAAAGCTTCCTTGCTGACACTTCTCTCAGCTCCTTGGATTTCAAATAGGGTCTCTCCAGGTGCGTCATTCTACTACATGTAAATTCCGGGCACTCGCCTAGGATATGCAGAGAAATTTCATCCTCGGCAGATCGGACTGCCTACAAGCTTTAGCTTATGTAGATGTTTCCTAAAGTAACAGTGTCCCGTTATGAATCCCGTCATTCTCCAGAGCCGAATTTTATTCAAGCTCATTTGCTCTCTCCTTCAAAGGATATTCCATGAACTCCTTAAAATGGCTAAGTAGTATTTCGCTGTATTTCCTCTAACAATATATTATCTTTTCAGCATGGTGGACAGTAGTCCACCATTATATTCAAATCCCATTTACCCTAATACTGTTTTTTCATTTCCTTTAAATCTTGGTGAAATCGTTCAATTTGATCTTCGCTGTAGTCCTTTAATCAGAGAAGTAATCCAGGTGAAAGTCCACAAGGTGCAGTTTGATGTTCATCAAACATCAAAGGTCTCTGAAAGTTTTCACTATTAGAATTTTGTAATTATGACTTTTGTGATTACCCAAAAACTTTTCTATTACATTTTTGAAGCTTTGCTATGCAGACTTCTTAGTTTCATTTAATTACTGCTCACATTATTCTACGAATTTGGGGTCCATCAAATATACCCTCGTTCAGTTTAGTACTGCTGATTTCGGGAACTTTATCTTCCAAATACCTGTAACATTCACCTTCTTTATCCAAATCCTTAACGAATTGTTTCATTAGTTCCAAGATTAATGTGTAGTAGAGGAAGCAGAAACTTGTACGGACCTAGCAAGTAATGGCAATTGAGTTTGATGGTATGAGCAATGTTTGGGAAACAATAAGATTTTCAGGCTAGCTTCTGCTTCTTTTTTGTGATCTCAAGTTCATGAACTAGCCCACATACTTAACTGATTTTGGTATCATGAAATTAAAAAAATATATTCGTGTTATTCAAGTTTTCCTTATTTTTTTTTGTCCTAGATACAATGCGACAGTATTTGCCTATGGTCCAACAGGTGCTGGAAAGACCCATACCATGGTAGGAGATAGAACTCAACCTGGTATCATGATCCGGGCCCTCAACGATCTTTTTGAAGCTGTAATGGACAAGGAGGATGAATATACTGTGAGCAAAATTAAAATATTTGTAATTTTATTTGTTTCATGAAATGTATTTTCGAAATTATTTTGGAGTGAAACATATAAGTCAGTTTTGGCAAGTATTCGCCATGGTGTTAACTATTGAAATATGTATATGTAGAGAGTAACCCAAAACTGAAGGTTGGCCGTTATTACAGAAAAACGGAAAGAGCAAATAGGAAACCGCAGGTGGTGATTTTTTGTAATGACATAAATATTTGACTTTCAATCACATCAAGAAACAAAAAAGTTTATACTGAAGTATTGCTAGATGAGTATTAGACTAGTTCTTGCACAAAAAAATATTAATAACAAATTTTGAACTGACGACATTGTGGAAAATAACTACGCTGCGGACTAATTTCCCTGATCTAGTCGATAATTTAGAAACGCAGAAACTAAATCGATGTTATTCTATTCCAGCTAACTTTAGCTTCAGAGACTGGTACATTTTCGTCTCCTTCTCAATCATATTGACGATTTTTTTACGTTTTATTTACTTTTCATCCAGGTTTTCAGGAATTATGTATGACTCATCATAACTTTTGTCATTAACATTTCTCTCTCTAATAATATTGATTGCTGTTATTTGTCCCGCTCTTTCGTGACTGGTATCTATTAGACGACTAAAAGAAGTTTGTAATATTTTAGTTGGAAATTCGTTGTTAGTTAACTTCCATGAAAACTTTGCTATGACTATAGTAAGCGAAGGTACTTCATCTTTGCTTACCTAACATTTACTTAACTGATAAAAATAATATTTCATTGATTACAGTACATAAAAAACAACAAACTCGTTAGTTAAATAACCAATATATACTTTTAGTGGAGTCAAGATAGCTTAAAATTACGCATTATTTCGAAATAATTATGGGAAGCATAGATTTTCTTAAAACCTTTTGAACTTACTTGGAGATAAGTATTAGAAAAAAGTTATAAACATATTTTTGTACGCTAACTGTTTTTTAATTGTTTAAACAATAATAAATAGTTTTTTTAAGAACATTTAAAATAATTCAATGAATTTTAAATCGAATTATTTCAAATTGACAATATAGGGGTTTTCGATGTCGCTGAACAAGAATATGAAGTCGGAAAATGAAAATTCAAAATGGCTGATCCAATATGGCCGACTATTTTAAACAATTTATTTAACAATAAATTTCACGGTTTTTTCATGAAATATTTTTATTTTTTGTTATTTTCTGTTTTTTCAACTATTATTTCAATTTTTTAAGAAAAATAAAATGCACCATCTTAAAGTAGAGATTTTAAGCTTTAAAAAGTGCCCTCACAAAGTTTCAATATCACTTTTACAACTATAGTTTTTGATCTATAAAGTATGGCCTAAAATGTAAAATTTGTGATTTTTTAAAATTATTCAATATGTTGGTCTCAATATTTTTCAAATTAAATTTTTAAGATTTTTTCCATATCGCTCACTGTTTCAATTGTCATTTGAAGAGTAATCTGTGAAAGTTACAGATATGTATTTTAAAAATTGAAAGAATGACAACTATTTTATTATTATTGTACAAAATTATAGAATGACGTAACTTTGTATACGTACTATATATATTTCTTTTTCTCAAGTTTAAAGACATAAAATTTTGATAGCCGGATGACTCTTCTTTCATTTAAATTTTTGTGAGGTCGATTTGATCAATTAGATCAAAAGTTATAACAAATTTAGTGTAGCGCGCTCGGGGCCGCGCGCTCTTCGAGACCTATACTTGGAGGCCGCCCGTCTCATTTTTCGTACGTTAGAAAAAAAATTCTACAGCCTTCAATTAGCATTTTAGAAAAAAACTTTATCAACATTAAATAAAAAATTATATTTTTTTATATATTTTGCAAAAACTGTAATTTTGCAACTAATTTGTTAAATAAATATTTTAGCGTACACTCTACAGTTGGTAACTTTTTATATGTTGTGTCTTACAAAGCGAAAAATAAAAAGTTCTCTGTTCCCGTAATTTTCGCGAAGTCAAAATCTATCTTGACTCCACTATTTAGAGTCTACCCTATATTAAGAGAAAATAGATTTTTCTTATTTAGGCACTTACGCCCTTTAAGAATTACATTTTTTTTGTAATTTATTAAAAATAAAAAAGTATGGGATATATTGAGATTCTTGAAAAAATACAAAGGAAAGTTGTATCAAGAAATAGGAAACAGTATTTAATTTTATTTCTTTTTGTGTACAATTTTTAAATGTTTAAATCCCAGGTGCTGCAGAAAACTTTACTGTTTGTGAAATGAAGATTATAATTTAACGATTGGTCAATATGAATAAATGAATTACAATTTCAAATTTGGGAAAAACCTATGAAACATTAATCAAATCAGGTCGATATGACACACTTAATGATTTAGGAGTTACTTTTGATCATCGACTCCAATTCAACGTTCATATTAATGCAACTGTTGTTAGTGCTTTAAAAAATGCGGGTGTTGTTATACGTAATTTGAGATGGTATCAATTAATCGATGTACTATTTTGTTTTTATTTTTTTCTTTCCTCACTAGAATACTGTTCTTCAGTCTAGTATTTTAAATATGGTAACCAAGGATATGACTCAAAATGTAGAAAATAAATTTTTAAATGAAATCTTAAGCAAACTTGAATTCAATATGCCTCGTATGAGTTCAAGACACTGTGACACATTTATGACCTTGCAATACCTAAAACATATGTTTCATCATCCCCACCTTAGGCCAGGAAATATAGAGTTGGATGCGACTTTTTGTTTCGGAAAGCTGAATTTATCACTATAGATGCTAAATATTATGCACAATAACATATTAGTTTCCACAGTCATAAAAATGGGGGGGAGATTGTTTACAGGGTGGTTATTGTATAATTTTTATATAAATTCATGTTTTTCGCTTATAACTTTTTTTCGTTCATTTCCACGAGAAAACAGTAAAGTACGTTTTGTTTCGGCTTCAAAAGACCTACAAAAAGCGTCAAAAAATATTGATTAGATCAAAAGTTATAAACAGACGAAGTTTATTTATGACTTTTGAATTAAACATTTATAAACTGCGTTATTATTACCAGAACGTTTTGGCATTGCATCCTCTCATTCCTTATCACTGTCTAATAACTCACATGAAATCGGGAATCGGTAAGTTGAATAGTTTACAAGTTATGGCCTTATAAACAAATTAACTAATTATTAGTCTGGACGATCCCGAAGATCTTCCACAATCGTTCTGATTTTTTCGTGGTAGATTTCTTAATAATAATTTATAATTTTTTTTAATTTCAAATTTGCAACCTGTATTTTTTTTTATTTTTTAGCCTTAGTTGCAAAATGAAATATACGACGCACGAGCGTGATATAGTTATATATTATTACATATTCGGAAAGCTTATGAAATGAGCTTTAAGATAAACCAAAATCGTCAATATTCGTTAAAAAACAACGGAATTACAGACTGTCAAATATACCATTTTCAAGCGAATTTCGCTTATTTAACGGCAGAACTTCCCCCACCGTTCCGCCCCGCCACGGCTCGCCGAAAATCAAGCTGACTTTTGACAATATTTCTTATACACTTAACATACTTCCACAAATAAAATATTTTTATCTGGGAAAGTACTCGGGTTGCCGGTTATGACAGTATTTTTTTTTGCTGCTACCAAACTAATTTGTTTAACAATAGGCCGTCAACTTTGACAGTCTGTAACTCCGTTGTCTTTCAACGAATCTTGACGATTTTTTATTAACTTAAAGCTCTTATCATAAGCTTTACGAATATGTAGTAATATACTATATCACCCTCGTGCGTCGTATATTTCATTTTGCAACTAAGGCTAAAAAATAAAAAAAAATTCCAGGTTGCAAATTTGAAATTAAAAAAATGATATAGTGATAAATTTAGCTTGCCGAAACAAAAAGTCGCGAAATGGTTATTTCCCAGCTTATTTTCCTGGCCTACTACCTGTTCGGTGCTTCTGCCTTTAAAATAAAAACTGTGTCTACTTTCAATTTGTGTGCGTTTTGTCCTTTTATAGTAAATAGTTTTGTTGTTATACATAAGTATATTAAAGTAATAACAGTTATATTGAAATAATAGTTGAATTAATAAAAAAATGCCTAAAAAAATATTTTTTTTTATATCAAAAGAGGTTTCAAAGCCTCAAGTACTTAAAGTGGATAAACATACTATAAAATTCATACTAATAGAAATTTCTATACAAAAAAAACGCAGGGAAGTCAAGTTGACGTTGTGAATGAATCAGCCCACATGTTTTGCTTCCAGGAAAGCCAAACGTCATGATTTTTACATTTACTCACTTCTACATACAGCGATATAACCCTTGATAATACCCAACCTTGTAGAAGTGGCAATTAAGTTAACAAAAGAATAAATTTATTGATTATTTTACACAAAAGGAACGTATTTGGTATTGGGTAGCTCCGATAATAAGCTCAGGATGTTTCGACACTAGTTGTCACGATATATGATAATTTATCATGAATTTCACTAAAAACTATACCATTATTGTACGAACTTTAAGTTCATGAGACAGAAATTAATATATGTAACAAGTTCATTGCCTCCTATAAAAAAATACAGACTCCGATAAACTTGTAATCTTAGACAAAGTGAAACTTTTCTTATCCTTAAATTTAGTGAATTAATTGTATAATATTTTAAGTTTTTTTATGTCTAATATTCTCAATGGTAGACTAATGTACAAACCATTTAATAATAATTTAGGTAATGACTCGGCTGTTACCTCGATAAAATCTTGATTTCGACCTAATTTACTTAAAAAGGAGTTAATGGTCGTAATATTTGTTATACGAATCGATTTATTTTGTTTTTCCACGTGTAAGTGTTTCTTTTTTAATAAAAAAATTATAAGTACTTAATTAGGCAAAGATGAATTAATGGAATAAAAAAAGTTCAGATATCGATCGCACTGAAAAGCTTCCTTGACAATTTTGTTTAAAAAGAAAAAGTTTAATCTTACAACATTGTGTAATCTTCAAGCCAGCAGAATTTTTATGGAAGAAATATTTGCCAAATATAGTCACATAAATAGTATATTACAAATATTTGTAAGAATGTTTTACAATGTATAGTTTATATGTAATCTATAGGTTATAGACACACAAATACGGGTCTATTCAGGAATTAACCGAACATTTTGAATTACGCGCTTTTTAAGATATTGATCAGCCGAAATTTCATGGCATGATCTAATTGAGATGATAACCTCTTCTGCAAATTCAATCGACGATTTGCACGCACCAGATCTTTGACTTTCTGAACGCGAGAGTCATCAGTTCAAAGTCGAGGCTTTCTTGGTCGACCATCATCTTCAACTGACTCACGACCACCTTTAAATCGTGAAAACCATTCGAAACATTGCGTACGACCCAGAGCATCGTCTCCGTAAGTCAGTGGCCACTCGCGATATTGTGATTTGGTGAGGCCCGTGGCTTTTTTACTAGGTGGGAAAGAAGAAAAAACAATTATTTTCAAGGTCAAACAACTAAATGCATCTAGAAATTTTTAGTTGCAGTTACAATATTATAGAAAAACTGATGTTCACGAGCACGATTTTCATTCAGATTTTATAAAAAATAATACGCAACTATTTGGATATTTTATTAATCCGCTCTCAAATAAGAAATAGGAATAAATTTCCATGTCATTTTTTATTATGGAGATCTTCGCAAATAGTCCTACCATAACCGAAAATTAAAAAATTATATTGTTGATAGATATCAGAACAAAAATTGCAGGCATTTACAATAAAATTAAGTAACAGAAAAAAGAACAAAGTGATATATTTACCTAATAATTAACAAAATTTTTTCTACTTATTCTATGAATATTAAAAAATATGAAAAAATATAAAAACTAATATTCATAAGGTAGTCTCCACTTTTAACAAAATGTCTTAAAAACATAGTGAATATTTTTATAAAACAGGTTTATTGGTTCATCTTTTAAATTTGCAAATTTACTTATGTCTTCATAAAACTGAGGATCGGCACTAAGACTTTGCAATAGTTCTTTTTTTATCGCCATCACTGATAAGTTGTTCAAGCGCTCTTGCGTTATCGTATTTCTAAGTTTTAATGCGCTTAAGACACAAAAAGTTTTTGCAGGAATTGTTAAAACTGAGCAAAACAATTTGTATGTTTCCAAAAATACCATTTTAAATTCCTTGTATAAGGTTTCTGTCGTTTCTTGAACTTCTAAATTACGAAATTGTTCGTCTCTGTACAAAATATTAAGTTCGTTTTTAAACCCATCTATTTCAAAAACGTTTGGATACATCTGTAATAAACATTCAAACGATTTTTCAGGAAATTTGTTTGCATATTCGGGAAATTTTGAGGAATCTACTAAAGGAAACAAAATTAAATCATGTAAATTCCCAAAACGAGTAGGTACTTAATTAAGGAGAAATATATTTCGAAAATATTTCTAATTCGTCGCAACTTTTGCCCCGTTTACTTGGTAGTCCAATAATATATTTCGCATAATTAAAAATATTTTTCAATTTTTCTTCGATTCTTAACTCAGACATTTTTTGACTAGTGATTTTAATTAGTTTAGAGAAGTAGTTTACGTCTTTACGTCTTGAAAAGGAGTTTCAAGAGATAAAACAATATTGTGAGATTGTTTCATTATTAGCTATCTATGTAGGTACTTGATAATATAATAAGCAACTATTAAATTGCATTAAATTTAGTCTTACTTTGCTTTGTTGTTTTCTATTTACTTTAAGTTAATACCTGCGTTGTCCGTTGTCCTTATCCTTAAAGCCTTTGTCCTATCCCTCGCACTGACATCAGACACTACCCGTGTACTAAGCGACGCGTTCATTAACCGCGAACTCAAAAACTAAAACTATAAGCAGCTTTGAACAGGCCTCAGTTCCCTCATAAATCACGTTATTTTAACCGCCTCGCATGGAGGGGGAACTGTAGCATACTGTAGGCAAGTGTGACGCGCCTACAAGCAAAGAATTTCTGGCCTCACTGTGGTGGGGACTAGTGGGGAGTAACAGTAAAGTTTTCCCCAGTTTCATGAAAAATTTTACATTGCATCGTTGTTCCAGAAAATCGTACATTCCAAAAATCCAGATTGCGCTCAAATAACAATATCACGAAAACTATATGAGATCCAAGAATATGTGGTTACTGAGGAGGTTATGCACAATGCAATGCTGCCAACCGCATATCACTAAATATCTTCATAAGTAATTCAAAAAGTTCGGTTATTTTTAATGACAATCAAATACGGTGAAATTAGCTTTCATCAGTTGCAAAAATGAAAAAACAAAATTTTGGAAATCATTTCGTCAGTAGGTCTTGTAATGTCAAGAACTTTTGCAATATAAAATGATAATTTTAATGCGCCTATAAAAACTGATACGTCAAAATTATGCACTTTATACTGTTTAATTTTTCATATAAATAGGCAGCGGTTAAAATTAAATTCCCACCATTAATAACACTATGTATAGTGTATAATTATATAATAATGATATAACGATTTACAGGTAATTGGTAAAGTTCCGTTCATCCATTAGAAGAGTATGTATTACAGCGCATTGATATATTTTCAGTAATGTACTCAAACTTTCTTGTATTAATTATGGATTAACCTACATTTTTTCTTTAAAAATACAGTAAATATGTTGTAACTTTGGAAATAGATATCATGGATAAGGGAACTTTAAAAATTGAATATAACAACATTTTTTGGTCGTTACAGGTAACTATGTCGTATCTAGAAATATACAACGAACAAATCAGGGACCTACTGAATCCATCATCAGGCTACCTGGAGCTGAGGGAGGACTCGAGAGGTCGAAACATCCAAGTGGCTGGTTTGTCGGAAATTTCTACCACTTCCACTGATGAGGTAAGTATTGGACATATTGATCGACAGTCACCCCTTTGTTTTAAATATTCAGAAATTACCGCACTAATGACTGGTTCCATTTGACGTTGTGGATTAGCGTTAGGGAAAATATTGTTTTTACTTTAATTAAGCTTCTTATTTCAATATCGCTCCGCCAATATGAAGCACAATTAACCTATATTTCAGCTGTTTGAATTTCTATTTTTAAATAAGTGCTTGGTAATTAATATGATGTCTCGTGTAACGTAATTAATAAGCATTTTCTTACTAAGCAGTTGTTTTATTAATTGTTAATTGTTCTTACGGTTAAGCGTTATAATTAAGAACTTGACTTTCTCTTTCATAGTCATAAAAAAAATAAAATCTATTGTCACAAACTACTCATATTTTTTGTTTTAGAATATTTTGAGCCGACATGTTTCCTTTTCGAGGAATTTATTATTTATCGACAAACAGAAAATTAGATTGAAATTGAACTTTGATGTCCACATAAAAGAATTATTATCATGATCACCATTTCCATTAAAAAAAATTTATGGGAAGTCATTATAATTATAATTCATTATTAAAGGTATACATTTCACTAGGTAAAACTGAATACAAAGGGACACGAGTTTTTGAATTTATCATAATATAAATTGCTTCTAAATAAATATATTTGCCCTACTGTTTTATTTTGATTAAATAGATACAGGGGGTTTCGCATAAGAACCGACACAGAGCAGGGGCATGTTGAGGAATCCAAAATATGGTGATTTAACGCAATTTACATTGTTGCACCCTTAAGAAATTATAGGCCTTGAAAGTGGGATTTCAAATTTCGAAAAAATATCTCGGTTATACTTGAACCAAATTTGGTACACGGTGTGAGTGTACCAAGAGCATTAATCGAGAGTAAGTAGAGTTCAATTGAAGTATTTTAAAGGGTTGATAAGGAATGATGCACCATTAAAATGTGACAGAATTTTTTAACCCGTTGACAGACTTTATTTTATGAGGAATTTAATTCTAAAACTTTTCTTACTCTTGTTAGTTTTCAAAAAACTTTGTCGTTTTTAACAAAAACAGGAATAACTAATAATACGTAGTTATTTCAAATCATCGTAAATTCAAAAGTTGGCTATGAGTTTAAACGTCCAACTTGACGATCAGGAAAAAGTAATTTAATTTTAGTAATTCTTTGCTGAGTGTTTTGGAATGAAGTTTTCGATGAAGGAAACCGCAGAAGAAGTGTTTAAGAATATCGGAGAAGATTCCCAAATCGTGTAATCCCCCATATAGCCCAGTTACTGTAGCTGAAAATATAGTAATACTTCCAAATTTTTTATCACTGCATCGATTTTTCTCAAAATTTAGAATTAGGCTCATCTTACCCCCCACTTCAAAACTTATATATGCGCTAGGTGTGCTTTTCGTTGTTAAGGGGTGAAAACCACCCCTTATTGAAAAAAATACAAATTTAAGCATTTTGTATAATCAAATCTTTTTTATTTGTGCAGTATGAGTAATTTCATGTGCCATCTAACATGAAACTTAATATATCCCAAATTTTCAACCCGGAAAAAACTTAAAAAACCACCCCTTTCGATGAAAATAATATAAACATTTTTTTTCAACTTGAAACGTTTTAATCATGCATTTTTATCAAATTAAAATGGATTTCTTGATTAAAAAATCTTTTTTATCGATTGCAACTTTTCAACCCTTGAAAAATACCCCCTCTTTCGAAAATAAATTGAAAAAATATTATTGAAAGAGTGGAAACAATTTAAATGTGCATTCGTATTAAATAAACATGTATTCCCTTATTATAATATAGTAGTTATAGTACAGTACTGGTTTATTCGAATATAAGTACACTAAATACGTACTTATGCTACAAAATTGTTGTTTGACCTAAATTTTCCTAAAATTATCACCTATACACGTGTTTATTTTTTTGACGATAACATTCTTACTTTTTAAGATTTTTAATCGCACAAAGGCTCATATTGCAGGGAATTGTAAGGGCTACGTGAACTGTTGAGTTGATCTTCTTTAAGCCCTTCATTTTTAAGTTTGAAGGGTTTAAAAGGCTCGAAAAGGGTGGTTCTCTCATTCATATGATAACTTAAAATGGCGATATCTCGATTAATATTAATTTTAGAGGAATAAAAAAAATAAAGCAAATTCTTCAGCAAAAATAAAGCTAAATTTTTTTACTCTTGTATTTTTTTCGTACACCTTTTAATTTTTAAGTTACAGCGTAAAAATCGAATTTTTTTCAGAATTTTGAAAAATTAACATTTTCAAAAATTAAATTTTTTTTTCGAAATCATGCTTTGTAAGTGAGTCAAAGACCCAGAACATATTCTTAGAACATAAATGAAGAAATCTGTAAATGGATTGCATTTAATTTTAATTCTGTCACCAAAGGCACTGATTTGTTTATTATTTTTTTCTTAAAAAAAATGAGGCTATCATGTTATTTCAATCATATATCCGTTAATTTTAATTCTAAAGACTTTTAAAAAAGCTCATTTTAAAGGTTTTTTAAAATACTTAAAAAAAGATGCAAATAGTTTTTTTCCTAATATTTATGGTTTTGGCGTTATTTAACGTTAACTGGTTCCAATTTAGTTTTTATTACAACTTTTTCGTTAAATCCAATGGTTTCAGAGTTATTTGCAAAAAACTGTGCGAAAACAAGCACTTTTTCAGTAAAAAATCAACATTTTTAATGACGAATTACTCGGAAAGTATTGGATTATCCAAAAAACTTTGTATAACATTTGTTACTTCAAATTATTTTATTTTGGTAGTAAAAATTCTCACCCCCAGAGCAAAAGCACACTTCGGCACTATATAAGTTTTGTTCCTTGAGGCATTCCCCACATTCAATCAAAATTTCACGTCAATCGGTTCAGTTATAAAGAATTCGGAGGTAAAAACCCTGAGTAACTGGACTAATAGAGAAACATTTTCCAATGTTGTAAGACGGACTCGAGAAATAAGTTTTTTTAGTAACACTCGAGAACGTGCTATTGCAGTCAGGTCACACGACGAAGAACTTATTTTGAATACAACTGAAGATGAGATGACTCACATATTGGTACTAGAATTCTCAACAATCTAGTATATCGCAAAATTCTGTGCACCGAGTGATAAACGTAATCTACTACATCTATATCATATCCGAACAGTGCAAGAATTGTTACCGAATGATTTGGTTAAACAAGTGAATTTCTGTCAGTTTATTTTACATCAAGGCATTAATTTTCCATAGAAAATTCTCTTTACTGATAAAGCTTGTTTGACCCGCAGAGGTATTATAAATTTACATTACTATCATGAGTATTCTGATGTCAACCCTCATTCGATAACTCCTCGACATTTCCAGCACGAATTTAAAATAAATGTTTGGATCGGTGTTATTGATCGGTATTTAATTGGTTCAGTTATTTTACCGAATCGGCTAAATGGCGAACCTTATTTAAAATTTCTCCAAAACATTCCCACATATAGTTGACGAGGTGCCACTACAACTCAAAGTGGAACATTTAGACAAGGGAGGATCTGTTTTGAGGTGGATGTGAGAGGGGGCAAGCAAATTTTTTCTGAACTACCTTCAGTACAATTCACATAATAAAAGTGTAGATCCCTAGATCTGGGCGAGGTCCGGAATATTTTCAAAATTGGAAAAATGTTTAAAAAATTTAAAAAACACCTATTTTATCTCAGTTTTTTTGCTTATATCTTGGAACCTACGCATTTTGGAAGAATATTGAAGAGGATAAAAAGTTTTAGAATTGAATTTTACACAATATACTGGAAGTTAATTAATAGTAATAATGTTAGAGACTTGTTAAACCACCAGTATCCAAATAAATGGATTGGAAGAGGAAATAATTGCCTTCAAGTTTGGACTTCACGATTACCAGACAACCAATGTGCCTTCTTTCTTTGGGGACCGTTAAAAGAATTTGTGTATTCCTCACCAGTTCGTCTCGAGCGGAATTGTTGAATCGTATTACGGATAAATGCACATTCATCAGAAACAATCAGCAGTTATTGGATAGAGTAGACTTCAATTTTCGAAGAAGAATAAATTTATGCCTGAGAGAAAACGGTGATTATTTTAAACAATTTCTATAACTTATCAGTTCAAATTGTATGTTATTTCTGTTGTTTAAGTTGTTTGTTTTTTTATTAACTTATTCTTATTCCAACTTTTTTTCCTGATCGTCAAGTTTGATGTTTAAATTCTGACGTGGGTTTAGCGCTCCCTGGTTATCGCGCATTAACGTTTACCTATCGTGGGTTTAGCTGGTTATTGCGCATTATGATGAACCTGTCATGAGCTTAGCATCCGAATGTAAGAGCGTGTATACATAAATATCTGCTTCATTTAGTAGTGTTTTCGCAATTTTAGGTTAGAAAATCTTGAAATATTGAGGTTATGGAGCAGGTCCGCCGGTGTTTTCAAATTCAGCGACTCAAAAAACATATAAGTAATTTATATCTCATTTTTGGATTTTTAGTTTATTCCCATGTTAAATTTATTTATCTAGATTACCAAATGTACCAAAATCATCAAAAGTAATTATTATTTCAAATTGGTCTAGTTACTCTAGATTATGATTTTCGGAACTAAGATCTTCTTTGAGATTTTAGCTTTTGACTTGAGATATTAATGCAATTATTAGCCATTTACTGAATCTGAACAAGGGATTGTTTATTAGACTCTTCCTTTTTAGGTTATGCTTCTTCTTCAAAAAGGCAACAAAGCCAGGACCACAGAACCCACAGCCATGAACAAGACCTCTTCCAGAAGCCACGCTCTCCTCAGCGTCACAGTGAGGCACAGCATGCCAATAGACAAAAAAGACCACCTGCGCATGCGCGTCAAACAAGGCAGGCTCTTCATGATCGACTTGGCAGGCTCTGAAAGAGCAAACAAGACCAAGAACAGAGGAAAACGCTTACAGGAAGGCGCCCACATCAACAGATCCCTGTTGGCTCTTGGAAATTGCATAAATGCCTTAAGCGGAGGTGCTAGGTATGTCAACTACAGAGACTCCAAACTCACCAGGCTCCTGAAGGACGCTCTGAGTGGGAACTGTAGGACGGTGATGATAGCCCACGTATCACCTAGCGCTGCACAGAAGGACGAATCGAGAAATACCTTAATTTACGCAGACAGGGCTAACAACATCACCACCAAGATAGAGAGGAACGTTCTGGACGTTTCCTATCAAGTTACCCAGTATCAGACGGTCATTACAGAGCTGAGAGACGAGATTTCTCGACTGCAAACTAAAATGAAAGAGGAAAGACCGAGATCCGCGGACGTAAACAGGATGAATGCTGAAGAAAGGAGCAACGAGGTGAAGAAGCTGAGGGAGCAGATCGTGGATACGTTCAAGATGCAGATGAAGCTGAGAAGGAAGCTGATGGAAATAGACTCACATCTCTTGGGACTGGGAATGGAAGCAGAGAGGCAGCACGTTATTATTTCACATTGGGAATCAAGGAATAACAAGTTGTACAAAAATAGTTTGAATGAATCTAGGGCAAGGACACAACAAAGCATTAGGTTAATATTTTCTCTTCTAGTATTTAAAATATAGCACTTTTCAGTAGGTATATCTGTTTGCAAGTATGTAAAAAAAAGAAAGGTGCACAGTCTGGACAGTTAAAAGGCTATTACGCTTGCAGTACAGTGTAAATTAATGTTTCCTTGTTTTCTGCAAGAGGCAAACATAATTTTTTATTTTTTTGCCATTGTAGAAGACGAAAAATTGTAACAGCAGACGGATTCAGGTCCGCAGGCAATGACCAGGATGAAGGATCCGATGCAGATATAGACGCCGAAGGCGAAGCAGCAGTTCAGCAAGCGTGGGCAGAGCTAGCAGACATAGAAAGAGAGCAAGATCGGTGGTCAGAGCTACGCACCCACATAGAACAAAAGTTAGAGGTGTGTAGGCAACGCGGAGTTGCCTTAGAAGATGTAAGTATAGTTATTATATAGTTTTTTTTTTAATATTACAATCAACTGTCTCAATTTCAGAGACTTCCATCGTTGTTATCTTCTGACGACGAAAGAGAAATCTTGGCACTCATGTGTCGAGTTCATGAATTAGAAGCCGATAAGATGGCGCTCCAATCCGAACGCCTCGTAAGGCAGCACGAACTAAGAAGAAGAGACCTAGTGATCCTAAGATATGACAGACAGCGGCAGTTGTGCGAAGAAATCATCACCAGACAAAGGCAGATAATAGAAGGTATTGTTCAAATCAGAGTTGTGTTGGTGATAAATTAAAAGACCTTCAAATTGTTTTAGAGGGGAGGATTAAGCTTCCGCCTGACTTGCAAGAACTGTACCAGATGTACCAGCAAGAAATACACGCAGCTACTTACACAGATTTTGGTCTGCCACAAATGTCTTTTTCTCCAGATAAGCTGCCACCCATAAGCAAAATGTAAGTGCCAATAACTTTCATATTACGGGATCAATTAGATTAAAATCAGGTGGACGTGTAGGTGGACCAGTGGTCAAAATATTAGAAGTATCACGATTTAAACCTTGTTTACTCCTGTTACAGTTATAGTGACCCCATTTTCAGAAGGGGTAACACAACGGACATGAGCGGCAGTGACGCGAGCGGACCACCATCTTCGGCGGAGTCCGGTGAGGACGGACTACCAAATTTGAACGACTCGAGCGTAGACAGAGTCATGGGACAGCCAGTGTCCCGACCTGGTATTGGCATGAAGCTTCCACCTCTCCCACCAAGTCCTCCAGTGAGGTTAAACAGAATAAATTCAAACAGGTAAGTTTTTTTAAAGCGTTGTGTATAAACACTTTTAATTGATTATTTCTTTGCATATGTTAGCACTCAGTTGTATTTCGAGAAGTTTTAAATTCTACCAATCAGCACAGTATTATACTCATAAAACGTAATTCTGCTAAAATTTTATAGCTATAAAACTACCTCTAAATTTTTTGACGAATTAAAAATAATACAGGGTGTTATTTAAGTACGCGGCCAAAGTTCATGAGGTGATTTTTTGGGTGATCCTAAGTAGTGGAGTCAAGATAGCTTAAAATTACGCATTATTTCGAAATTATGGGAAGCATGGATTTTCCTAAAACCTTTTGAAATTACTTGGAGATAAGTATTAGAAAAAAGTTATAAACTTATTTTTGTACGCTAATTGTTTTTTAATTGTTTTTTAAGAACATTTAAAATAATTCAATGAATTTTAAATCGAATTCTTTCAAATTGACAATATAGGGGTTTTCGATGTCGCTGAACAAGAATATGAAGTCGGAAAATTAAAATTTAAAATGGCTGATCCAATATGGCTGACTATTTTAAACAATTTATTTAACAATTACCGATTTTAAATCAAACTCGCTTATATTCGTAATATAGGAGTTTTTAAGTTCGCTAAACAAGAATATAATGTCGGAAAATGAAAATTCAAAATGTCTGATCCAATATGGCTGACTATTTTAAACAATTTATTTAACAATTACCGATTTTAAATCAAACTTGCTTATATTTGTAATATAGGAGTTTTTAAGTTCGCTAAACAAGAATATAATGTCGGAAAATGAAAATTCAAAATGTCTGATCCAATATGGCTGACTATTTTAAACAATTTATTTAACAATTATCGATTTTAAATCAAACTCGCTCATATTTTGTAATATAGAGGTTCGAAAACTGAAAATTGTAAATGGCTAAAGAGGTTTTATTGAAAATTTTTTAGAAAACAAATTTATTACAAAATAATTAATTTTTAAATATCATCGAGTTCTTGCTCCTCTTCAAAAATAACTGGGCAGGGCAATTAAGGCTTTAAGCCAAGAAAATAGAAAAAAAACACTGATTTTAAATACAAAATTACAAAATCAAAATCAACGTCCCATGTTATTTATTCATGAATTATTTAAAAAATGGATCAATATTCATATATAAATATTAAACTCATACATTTACAGGTTTAGCATAAAAGAAAACGAATATAAATACCATAAATGCAAACTGAAGATTATTTGTAATATAATAATATAACATTAAAGAATTACAAGTGTACTAGAGTATAACCTCAAAATGGACAAAATATGTGAATAATACGCTTTATAACACACTGATAACTGCAGCTTAGTAGTAGTAGTAAAAGGGGCGGCCTCAGCCTGGCAATTAAGCCACAAGTGGGCCCTTTTTGCCTACCCCGCCGTCCCATCACCCAACCACTCCTCTGACCCTCCTCGAACTTACCCGACGCCCTGATGAAGATAACTGCAGCTTACTGGAAAACATAAAAATCATATTCTTATACCATTTATGATAATTATTTAATTCTTATAAACGAAAAACGCTTTTAAAATAAATAAAACTGTAAGTAACAAAGAATATTTGGTGTGCTCACTGCTTAGCTTCGTCACCCAAACTCGTATCCGTCTACATCAATAAGAGAACTTATATTCACAATTTCAGGTACAAAATATACATTTTAAAAATGAATATTAAATCAATTAATCAAAAAACGTTATTTTTTTGCTGTTATAACAATTTTTCACTTATTACTATAAATAAAAAAAATATTTTTCGCTGGATTTACTTTTTTTAAGGTCTTAACTTGCTTTACAACTAATTTGATGGTTTATTAAAAAAAAAAAAAATTTTTTGTACATTATTAAACTTTATTTAAGAATAAATTTCACGGATTTTTCATGAAATATTCAAATTTTTTGTTATTTTCTGTTTTTTCAACTATTATTTCAATTTTTAAGAAAAATAAAATGCACCATCTTAAAGTAGAGATTTTAAGCTTTAAAAAGTGCTCCTATAAAGTTTTAATATCACTTTTACAACTATAGTTTTTGATCTATAAAGTTTGGCCTAAAATGTAAAATTTGTGATTTTTTAAAATTATTAAATATGTTGGGCTCGATATTTTTCATATTACATTTTTAAGATTTTTTCCATATCGCACACTGTTTCAATCGTGAATTTGAAAACTGTACTTTTGCAACTAATTTGTTAAATAAATAATTTAGCGTACACTCTACAGTTGGTAACTTTTTATATGTTGTTTCTGACAACTTTACAACGCGAAAAATAAAAAGTTCGCTCTTCCAGTAATTTTCGCGAAGTCAAAATCTATATTGACTCCACTAAAGACGAAAAGTTTATATAAACATAGGTCCGATATTGCTTCATTTTCAAGATACGTGGTGTCAAATTTAAAAAATTGTTTTTTCGTAAAAATCTTAATAATCCTTTAGCCGATTTCGTTGGAATTTGGCAGTGTTATTTATGGTAGAAAGGGGCTAATTTAGCCCTAACTAGAATAAAATTAAATAATTTAGCGTACACTCTACAGTTGGTAACTTTTTATATGTTGTTTCTGACAACTTTACAACGCGAAAAATAAAAAGTTCTCTCTTCCAGTAATTTTCGCGAAGTCAAAATCTATATTGACTCCACTAAAGACGAAAAGTTTATATAAACATAGGTCCGATATTGCTTCATTTTCAAGATACGTGGTGTCAAATTTAAAAAATTGTTCTTTCGTAAAAATCTTAATAATCCTTTAGCCGGTTTCGTTGGAATTTGGCAGTGTTATTTATGGTAGAAAAGGGCTTATTTAGCCCTAACTAGAATAAAATTATCAAGTCCAGTGGCGTCCTGAGGGGATATCTTAACCAATATTTTTGACAAAAAAAATGTGCGCCACTGACTTTTTAAAACTTGTATGTTTTTTTCTTATTAAGCAACTAAAAATACAACAATTTTAACAATTTTTTCCTTTTGGAAAATGTTTTCGATTCAATAAACCTTCATCAATCAAGTAAAATTTTGAAAAAAATCATTTATGTAAATTTTATCCGGGAAAAAGTCATCGTTGCTATTAGTGTTTTATGTCATTTTTTTTTTCAGTGCTATGAAGAGGGCAATGAGTGAAGATGTCTTGTACGGATCAAGTAGCGCGGAATAACAGTAGAATAATTTTTTTCGTAAAATATATATTTTATCTTTGGTACAATTACACATTACTAAACTAAAATCAATACATTATTGATATACGTACTACCTACAAATTTAAAACATTGTACTAGTATTTCTTGCATTTTCAAATGTATTATGTTTTATTTTTTTATAACTGAAATAAATATATCGTTAAATATAAACAATTTTCTTTTTTAGACATCGCTATTCTAAAATCGGTCAGAAGCTTGAAATAATATAATAATATCTACTTGCCTTACAAACTACAGATTTTCTTAAATCTTATTCTAGGTCCTACAAAAGAAATAAAAAAATATGTACAAAAAGTCTAGCAATAAGTTAAAGATAAATTAAGAAAAAAAATATACAAAAGACATTCACAATAAAATGAGAAACATAAAGGAATGTAGTACCAATAGGTAGTGTTAATAATACATACAAATGTTGAGTTATTTTGACTAACGTCAGATGTTAGACAAAGTATTGTCAGTTGAAGAAGAATAAATGGCACTGTTGAGAATGTGGTATGGACTTTAGCCTTTCTAAAGGCACACGAAGTAATGTTTAGTGAATTAAGTGAGGTTAGATAATTCCACTAGGGTCACAAAATAATGCATACAAGCGTTCGAATGCATTTGATAACACAAAATCATTTCTTTGCTTAACCGGTAGGTAAAACATCGATTATTATCTGTTTTGTTGCTGACATTATCTAGTAATAAGATAACACAATGTCTTGGGTGTTCCTATTTGTTTGTTTCGTCCTCAAATTGTTCTTCGCGGCAGAACATTCGATTTCCTTAGTTGGATAGTGTAAAGGTGAACTGAGATTCTTTGTTTTTTTATCAATTAAAAATATGCATATGCCAACAGCTTCTATTGTTAATACCACTGGTCGATTTACCAATATTACAACGCATAAACGAAAGACCAATAGAAAATGTTGAAAATGAGGAAGGCACAAGGAAACACCACCCTGGACTTCTTATCTATCCAGTTGGCCACTTCCTGAGGTGTCATCGTCGTCCAGGCGGGGGGAGTGGGGGGCCTTGATGCGTTGTCTGGAATAGGGATCGTCGTAACACTCTCCTCGCTACTTATGAGGTCATCCTGGCTCTGGGTGGTTATTATGGGCACGCTCAGATTCGTCGGAAAGCTCTGGAACAAAAAAAGGATTGTAACCACTTTATCAACGAGTTCATCAGTCCATAGATTGTTCAACCATTAGCAACTGTACCAGAAACCTTATTGTTCTTACTTACATGTACTGTAAGATAGTTGGCCTGCAAATTCTTCTTGGCGTTTTCTCCATCTAAGCTTGAACACGATCTGGTCTTATAGAGACTGTTCACAGACTCCACTTTCCTCAATTGCTTTCTTGCCAAGCTAGGTGTTATGGCTCCTTTTAGGATGTGCTTGCTGTTCTGCTTTTTCAATTCCACCTTCTTCCTAAAATGATAATCAACAAACTGTAGTAATGCGTCTTTAATACATAGTTTGTATAGGACTTACTTTCTCCTCCAGATCACATTGACGAAAGCAAATTCCGCTATGGAGAGAAAGATGAAGGTAGCGCATCCCAAAAACCAAATCTCGCTGGCCTTGATATAGGACACCTTTGGAAGGTTTTTGCTTAGTCCACCGTTCAGAGTTACGAAAGCCAACATGGTTGCTGTGCCTAAAATGTACCAATAGGTATTATGTACGATAAAATTAAAATACTGTCGCTTCATCCACATTGGAATATGACAATAATATTGCTGTTTACTTACCTAGGGTTATTCTAGGAGCAGCAGCGTCGGCTTGAAGCCAAAATGTGACCCAAGATATGCCGACCAGGAGCATGGAAGGTAAAAAGTAATCCATGATGTAGTAACCTACTTCTCTTCTCAGTCTGAAGGTAAATTCTACAGCGCTAGAGTTTTCAGCTGCAAAATAAATATTCCTTGTAGATAAATAATTGAAGTTGGGACTTGTTTTCACTTTATTATTATTATTTTAGGCCAGGAAAATAAGCTGGAAAATGACCATTTCGCAACTTTTTGTTTCGGCAAGCTGAATTTATCACTATAGATGCTAAATATTATGTACAATAACATTTTAATTTCCATAAAAATGGAGGGAAGATTGTTTACAGGGTGGTTAATTGTATAATTTTTACGTAAATTCACGTTTTTCGCTTATAACTTTTTTCCGTTCATTTCCACGAGAAAACAGTACTTTTTTTTCGTCTTCAAAAGACCTACAAAACTAGCCCTCGAGCGTCAAAAAATATTGATTAGATCAAAAGTTATAAACAGAAGAATTTTATTTATGACTTTTGAATTAAATATTCATAAATTGTGTTATTATTACCAGCACGTTTTGGCATCGCATTCTCTCATTCCTTATCACTGTCTAATAACTCACACAAAATCTGGAATCGGTAAGTTGAATAGTTTACAAGTTATGGCTTTATAAACAAGTTAACTATTCTGGACGATCCCGAGGATCTTCCACAATCGCACTGATTTTTTTCATGGTAGATTTCATAATAATACATTGAAATCTTCTATATTTTTTTTTTAATTTCAAATTTGCTGGAATTTTTTTTTATTTTTTAGTTGCAAAATGAAATATACGACGCACGAGCGTGATATAGTTATATATTATTACATATTTGGAAAGCTTATGAAAAGGGTTTTAAGTTAAAAAGAAATCGTCAAGATTCGTTGATAAACAACGGAGTTATACACTGTCAAAGTTGACGGCCTATTGTTAAACAAATTAGGTTGGTAGCGGCAAAAAAAATACTGTCATAACCGGCAACCCGAGTACTTTCCCAGATAAAAATATTTTATTTGTGGAAGTATGTTAAGTGCATAAGAAATATTGTCAAAAGTCAGTGGGTCGCTTGATTTTCGGCAAGCCGTGGCGCGGCGGAAGGGTGGGGGAAGCGAACGACAGCGAGTCCGAAGAAAATGACGATAATATTCATAGTCCTGCCGTTAAATAAGCGAAATTCGCTTGAATATAATATATTTAACAGTCTGTAACTCCGTTATTTTTCAACGAATCTTGACGATTTTTTTTTAACTTAAAGCTCTTTTCATAAGCTTTCGGAATATGTAATAATATATAACCTATATTACGATCGTGCGTCGTATATTTCATTTTGCAACTAAGGCTAAAAAATAAAAAAAAATCCAGGTTGCAAATTTGAAATTAAAAAATATATAGATTACAATGTATTATTATGAAAAATCAGTGCGATTGTGGAAGATCTTCGGGTTCGTCCAGACTAATAATTAGTTAATTTGTTTATAAGGCCATAACTTGTAAACTATTCAACTTACCGATTCCAGACTTCGTGTGAGTTATTAGACAGTGATAAGGAATGAGAGGATGCGATGCCAAAACGTTCTGGTAATAATAACGCAGTTTATAAAAGTTTAATTCAAAGTCATAAATAAACTTCTTCTGTTTATAACTTTCGATCTAATCAATATTTTTTGACGCTCAAGGTTAGTTTTGTAGGTCTTTTGAAGACAAAAAAAAAAAGTACGTAACTGTTTTCTCGTGGAAATGAACGGAAAGAAGTTATAAGCGAAAACGTGAATTTACGTAAAAAATATACAATTAACCACCCTGTAAACAATCTTCCCCCCATTTTTATGACTGTGTGATCTATAGTGATAAACTTAGCTTGCCGAAACAAAAAGTCGCGTCCAACTCTATCTTTCCTGGACTAATTTAGTATTTTGTCAATACAAACAGAGTATCTATGACATATTATAGTCATTTAATACAGTGCGTAACAGAGATACGTGATACACTCAGGACTAAGTGTTTTTAAAAAATAGAAAAAGGTGAGACTTCTATAGGTAAAAAATTGGAAATGGTTCATAATTTTTTATCAATGACTTAAGAATAATTGAGATATACAATTCAAATTTGGTATAGTGCTCTGAGAGCACTGCTCTCGCAGTATCTATATTCGTGTAAAATTCAGACATCAGTGGTATTTTAGGTGTTAAAAAAATTAACACGAATTTTTGCAAAAATCAGAAATCATTTTCAAGAGATAATTACTATTATAGTAATGAAATCACTTACATATTCCTCCTAAGGAATAAGACGTAGGCACCACGTTCTTTTTGGACCACATATCCTCTAAAATAAATTCTGTGAGATGTAAATTTGACGCTACATGATATGGCTGTAGATTTACCCAGTTCAATTCCAAACTTGTAAGGTTGTATGCCCCTGAAAAGTAATCTTATCGTTAATATGCCTTCTCTTTGAAATGAACTTTACGTAAGATCTAAATTTTATTAAATACTTACAGCTGACCCATTGGATGCTACAAATCTGACAATCGAAGGGGAACTTCTGCAAATTCATCCAGCAGTAGAAGGTGGTGGTCATTCTGTAAGAATATTTGACTTCGCCGCTTGGTTTGATCTGCACAATCACGTCTTTCCCATCTAGGCCCATCAGAGCCGAGTCTCTCTCATTGCTGATGATGATATGGGGCACCCAGATTTTGTTCCTTAGACTTTCCTCTCCCAGAATTTCACCCCGTTCGGGAGAGATTTTGGAGTAGTTCAGCCTGCTGTCTCTGTAGTACAGATGCACCAGTATATGAGACTTGAACTGCTGAAAATTTATATTTATGTTAGGTACTGCAGTAAAAAATTTCTTAATGTATACAGGGTGTTCAAATGAAAACTTCCCACTTTAGACTAGGCGGTATCTGTTTTGGTTTGGGTGAATCGTATATCCACGGAGATTTTTGGCTTTTTGGCTTTCAAATATCACTAGAAATGAAAATTTTTCTATGCGCATAAAAAAAATGTGGGCTTAACTTTTGGCGGCACAATATGTTAAAAAAATTCGAAAAATGTCATATTTTTCTTCTTATTTAATTATGTATCTTTTCAAGAGTTGATTTTAGGCGAAAATGGAAGAGGAAAAAAATGTTTGTAATTAAATTTTTTACAAAACATGACCAGTCACAATTCGAGTGAATCATGATTATTATGGTAAAAATCCAAAAAAATCGGAAAAATGGTGTTAAAAACAATACTTTTCAGATAATTTTTTTGGGGTATTTCAATTGAGTCATGTTATCATCACACCAAATTTCATCAAAATCGTTTCGATAGATTTTGCATAATAATTTTGCAATCCAGATTTTGAAAAAATATTTGCAAATTTTCAAAATTTTTCACAGCAAAAACCAAGGCCCTTAGATACTTGAAAATTTAATCACATAACCGTCATTTACACTAAATGTACTGGGACATCCGGGCTAATTTATCGAAAAATAACTTTGGTATTCCGAGTACTTACCAGGTCTAAGATTACAATACTTTTCTTCATTAGCAACCTACTTTAAAACGTGTTTAAAGTTATTTATGCAAGTGAGGAATTCAAGAAAATCGTACGGGTGGTAGAGGTGGGGGAAACAGAGACCGCGGCCGCTTCGGCCTGCTCGAAATTGAATCGGCGAGATCAAAACCGCGATGTGCTTAAAAAATTTTAATATCTCACCTTCTAGAGGTCCGATTTTGATGATTTTTTTTTAATTTTAGCGTATTTTCAAATGCCTATCGTTAATAATTATTGGTCTTTCAACAGTCCGATAATTATTTATATTTAAACTAAAAAAATTTTTTCTGGTGTTGCCAGATTTCTGCAGTAGCTACTAAAACGATATTTTTTTTTTAAATGGCAACAATACAAAATAAAAATAAAGTTGATAAGTAAAGGAAGTTTAAAGATAAATAATTATCGGACTGTTGAAAGACCAATAATTATTAACGATAGGCATTTGAAAATACGCTAAAATTTAATAAAAATCATCAAAATCGGATCTCGCTCTAGAAGGTGAGATATTAAAAATTTTTAAGCACATCGCAGTTTTGAATTCGCCGATTCAATTTCGAGCAGGCCGAAGCGGCCGCGCTCTCTGCTTCTCTCACCTCTACCACTTGTACGATTTTCTTGAATTTCTCGCTTGCATAAATAACTTTAAACACGTTTTAAAGTAGGTTGCCAATGAAGAAAAGTATTGCTTTCTTAGAACTTTTAAAACCTGCTTTAAACAATTTGAGTTGATTGAATATTCACAGTTATTCTAATTGTTTATAAGTACAAAAATTCGACCAATGTTTAAAAAAGCGCCAGAGCTCTCCTAATTGACGGATTCGAATTTTTCAAAAAAAGTTTGAAAGCTTGAGAGCCCTTCTATATGTGATTAAATTTTCAAGTATCTAAGGGCCTTGGTTTTTGCTGTGCAAAATTTTGAAAATTTACGATTTTTTTTTCAAAATCTGGATTGTATAAATATTATGCAAAATCTATCGAATCGATTTTGATGAAATTTGGTGTGACATAACATGAAGTTTTCTTGAGCCAAGTCTAAAGGTCCTATACTTAATTTAAATACCCCAAAAAAATTCTCTAAAAAGGATTATTTTTAAACCCATTTTTGCGATTTTTTCGATTTTTACCATAATAATCATGATTCATTCGATTTGTGACTAGTCATGTTTTGTAAAAAAATTAATTACAAACATTTTTTCCACTTCCATTTTCGCCTAAAATCAACTCTTGAAAAGATACATAATTAAATAGGAAGAAAAATATGACATTTTTCGAATTTTTTTAACATATTGTGCCGCCAAAAGTTACGCCACATTGTTTTTATGCGCATAGAAAAATTTTCATTTCTAGTGATATTTGAAAGCCAAAAAGCCAAAAATCTCCGTGGATATACGATTCACCCAAATATGGCTTTTTGAAATAGATACCGTCTGGACTACCTGGAAAATATCGGAATTAAAAAAAAACAAAAAAAAAAACAGACACGTTGATTTTTTTTTTCAAGGGGGACATGCGATGGCGTATGTTTTGATGTCTTGGAAGACCCCTTAGGCAGGGGCGTAAAATACCCTTAAACTTTAAATGACACCCTATGTTGAGTGACATCTCATTTTAAAGCTTTTTCAATTCTACCCAAGACGACATACGACTTATTAAATTTTGGTTTGGATATGTTAATAAAATCATCACTTAAAGAATCAGACAAAATATCAATAAACGAAATAATGTTATTTTATTAAATGTTGAAATTGGTTTCTGTTTTTTTTTTAATTTCGATATTTTCCAGGTGAGAATTTTTAATTGGAACATCCTGTGTTTTATGCTTATATATATTATTATATCCAAACAGATAAGTGTAGAAGCTATTTTTAGTTTAATATGAGTGGATTATTTATTTATACAAAATTTTATAATCCCCATTTCCGATCACAGTTCTTTTTATGTAATATAATTGATTAATAGGGGATTAAAAATGTATTTAGTGTCTTTTATGAAATACGATTATATGTAGACTCTAGACTACTGATTAGCAGAATACAATAAACACGTTTTTCGGCCCATTCAATAATAGAGTCATTCACTTTTTCCTTGTGTTTTCCTTGGATTCAACAAAAAATGTGAAGGCGTTGTTATTCAGATTTCTCGAATCTTGCTACATTGTAGTCTTGCTCATATCTCTCCCATAAAGGCTAATAAACTTGCGCAAAATCATGTAACTTAATGTACCTGAACATGAAACAATCCAAACAAAAGTTGCATATACCTACTGCTGTAATTGTGAGGAATATTATAAACAATAGCAGAATAAACCAGATTTGGTCCTTATCAGATTCAGTATGTTTTATTGCCCATACGTGACAATATTACACATAGAATTTGCTAAGAATATATTTTTGTTTGCTGATTTAACCTGATTTTCAGGGAAAAAGTAGGGATTACACATTTATTATTGTTGGATTTAACCTTACATGAGTCAAGGTATCGAGACTTTTATGATATGTATTTTGAATGTTTGTAAAAGTCACGAGATTTGTAAAGAGAATATGAACTAGTTGGAATATAACTTTTATTTTCTAATAATAACACGTATCAGTATGTGATGAGATATTTTCTTAATACTGCCGAGTTCTACATGACCAAACATCGAGTTGCTACCAGCCAAATAAAAATACATTCTTATACAATTTTTTAATAAAATAATCATGATTAATGAATATAAAACTCACTCACTATTACTATCATCTATTTTAATAATAAATTTCTCTGTATTATTCGTAATATGAATGTCATCTGTTGATGATTGTGTTGTATGCACATATAAAGTTTATCCCTGCCTAATAGATTATAAGATTTCAGTTCACCAAATTTTAAAATTTCGGGTTTACTTCAATCAGATTTGAAAAATATTTTTACCACTAAAGTTTCGGCACCTAAAAATTGTATGACTTACCAAATGATCAGCCGACTCAATATGTTTCATGTCAATCTGAATCAATACGTTCAAAGGTCCATCCGTGGGAGGTTTGATGAGCCTGTCATATCGACACCCATCTGTCAATTTTGAGATGAATTCATCCTGCGTTAAGTTGTCGATTATTGGCAAAGCCGAAAGAGCTGGACAGGGGTCTATCTGAAGCTCATCCCTGGCTGCTTCTATGGACATAGTTGGTTTCGGTATTGTGGTGGTGGGAACTGTAGATGGTGTTGTCGTAACGTCCGAAACTGCTTGCGTTTGCTGATCGGTCGCATTTGATGTTAGGTTTTGATCGGTTGGAGGCAAATCTGTAGAAATTGGCGGATCTGAGACTGCGCTGACGTTTTTTGCGGCAATTGACATGACATTTTCTTGACGTGAACTGAAACATTGAAAACCATTGTAAGTATTTATTAAAATTTTTACATGATTATACGAGTAGATAACAGATGTTTTGAATACTGCGTTTTGAATACTGTAACAGTATTAAAAATTTTAAGTGCTTCCAAAGGTTGATTCATATAAAATGATGGTGATTTTCATACTAACAAGTTCATATTATTGAATGCCGAAGTTGTTTATTAATTTTTTAGTTTTGAATTCAATTATTTTTACATATATTAGTGCGAATATTGATTATATATAAAAATTTGTAAAAGAATTATAATAATTTTCATCTTGTTTTTGATGTGGCGCTGAACATATTACAGGTGATGAAACGTTGACGATTTTTCGAGGTTTCATTTTTAAACTAATAATCTGGAAGGATATAAATCTTTCTTATGATAATAGTTATAAATATACTTAATCCCACTACTTTTGGGCTAATCATAGTAAGATACATAATCTTTTGCTATACAAAATTATTCCCCTACGACGTCTGTAACCGCTATTATAAATTATTTGGATAATCCACGGTAAATACAGTATACTTTTATTATCCCTGCTTAAAAAAAACACATTTTTATGATTGCCAAACATTCAGGAAAAAGCCAGACGTAGATACTTAACAAGTACGGAAGTATTTTGAAGAATTTTTCCACTAAATTTGACGTAAAAATTGTTACAGGATGAATATTATATTGTTTATTCTTTGAATATAAAGAAAAACAGAGGGTGATTCACAGATAGTGACAAAAAATGAAACCTCGTATTTTTTGGTTAATTTTAAGGGGAGGGGAGTCTTTCCTATTAAGTTTTTATCTAGAACGCTTCGTTAAAAAGATACAGGGTGTTAAACTTAAAAAAATGTTTTTAATTTTTTTAAATAATTTTAAAACTAGTAAGTGAAATAATTTGAAATTGGGCACATGTATTTATGTAAACATTGTCCAAAATCTGAGGGCTTTCCCTAAAATTTACATGCTCCAGTGGCGTAAATACAGGGTACCTATCGGTGGCATATTTTTCTAAATAAAATAGTACGCCACTACTTTACAATAACAACCATAATATTTTCGGATTCCTCTTTCAATTTTCTACAAATTACTACCCTCTTATGTTTTTCAAAAAAAACTTGATTTTCGAGTAAAACTTTAAAAACGAATTAAGAGCACCGGACCTTAACCCACTGGATTTCTTTTTGTGGGGTGCTGTTAAACGGCTGGCATACAGTTAACAAATGAATACACCTGAGCAGTTATCTAGAAGATAGAATGCAATAGAATAGATAGATTCATCAGATTCAAGCAACAATTTCGAACAAAATACATTTTCTTTACTAAAGGGATGTTGAGCCTGTGTTCGTGGAAATGGAGGTATTTTTGAGCATTTACTCAAATAAAATGTTATACACCACGCAGCAGTTAAGTATAATTTCCAGTCTCGGACTCGCTCTGCTCGGGCGCAAAATCGTCCTCGACTAGTAAATAATATTTACCTCCCTTATGGTGCAAATAACTATTTTTAAAAGTAATTTTAATTAAGGAAATAATAATTTTGATACAAATTAAGAAAACGAAAATTCCATTTTCGGTGTGAGAGACGAAAATTTTTGCTTTTTTCGACTTATTTTTATATATGCATGTAAGCAGAAAAATACTTTTTTATAAGTTGTAGAAAATTTTATATTCACTTCAAAATGGGTTTTACAATTGTTGTCATATAATATTATTAACAAAAAGCTTTATAAAAATAAATAAATATAAACGAAAAATCAACAGTGCAGTTATAAAATATAAAAGTTAATAAATATTAATAAACAAAATTTACGTATTTACGTATATCCGGAGATTTTTTAATTGTCAAGTAAGATTTAATTTTAGACGTAAATAATAAAACTCTGTTTATTAATAGGACAATATAACATAATTATATAATCCTTTTAATACCCAAATTATTTAATATCTAAAATTCTGAAAAATGTCTTTCTAGCTCCTAGAATTGCCTCCCTTAACTTCTAGAAAGAAAGTCTGACTTAGTACCCCAAATTCACGTCCAGTCTGTTTAACAAAAACAAATACATATTATTTATAATATGTATTTAGCATTAATGCTTTTAGCATGGTATGTGAAATTAATATGTAAAATAATACTAATTAACAATTAATTTTTGGGATTTTAGAACAGGGAGTCGAAAAAAAAGAAAAAAAATTGGGCCATTCCTGTTCTCGATTACAATAAAGTTTACATGAGAAAATAATTAGCCCAAAAACCCAAGGATTTTGCTATCCCAACAGCCGTTTACAACTCTTTGACTAAGGACCTAAGTCAAACATAGTGTTTGGTAGATTTTACAGCTCGATGTTTGCGATCTCTTTGCACGGCGGCAAATATGATAATCCCTAATACTTTATGAGCCGAAATTAAACATTGACTTGGAGGCTTAAACAAATAAGCAAACATGGGTAATTAGTGGTTACAATTGAAAAATCCAACGCGTTTAACAAAGCAATTATAACCTACAGTCCACCGGATTCTGAAATAGTTGGGAAAATAAAGCGAGCAAATAAATAACAACATCTAGAGTCAATATTGTCGCAAAATTTTATGTCTCGTTAAGCTGACAAATAAGTGTAAATTGGAGCAGTTTTCTCTAAATATGCTTTATTTGACAGATCGTTGACGTAATCAAACTATGATGCAAATACACAGCTTTTTTGGCGGATGAAACCGTTTACCCCTTCTAATATCGACGCCACTGGGTTTATTTTGGTTAAATATTGCACGTAAGTATGTCCCCAGTACGAATAATCGCATTGTACCAGGTTTGAAATAAAATATATCTTCAATTGTTACTGAAATTGATTAAAAAACATCACACCTTTGAAGGAGTATACAGGCTTATTTTTTAAGTAGAGATCTAATTTTTGTAGCTTGTAAAACTCGTTTTAATTTCAAAAGAATAATTAGCGTAATAATTTCTAAAACACCATTTATTCCGGTCCTGCGCGAATTTAAAGAAAAGGTTCAAAGTAGCCGCCAGTGTGACCTACAGACTGTTCATTAACGTTTTGTCTCAATTGTATCAGCGGTTTGTTCTATGCGGGCAATAAGTTTCCTTCTATTAGCTGGAGTTTTAAAAACACATTTTTTTATTAACCCCATAAAAATAAATTACAAAGGTTAAGACCTTATGATCAGGGTGGACAGGCAACTATAGTCCTGCAAGATGGTAGACTCGGTTTGAATTTTTTTTACAACCGTGGAATATTGTAATTGAAAAAAATCTGGTTTCCAGTAGTTCTACACGCTGTTAAAAATATAACTTAGGAATCGCCCTACAGAACCCATAGAAATCATCGTTGAAAGAACTGTTTTGTTTTATTCGTTTTGTTCTCTATTCGAAATATACCAAGATCAAGGAAACGGAGCAATTTCTGGGAAAAAGAACCACCTCTTAAGGAAGTAGAATAGGGGCTGCCTTTTCCAAATGAACTGCAAAAACATCTCATATGATTGGGGCAAAGTAAGAATTAGATAAAAAGAGAGACGTGTTAGCACTAGGTTTATTAACAACATAGAGGAAACAGCAGTTGTAGGGAACAGTCAGATTCAGCAATAACGGAATTTTGGAGAGAAAGAGAGAAGAGAGTCAAGAGGAAATACACGCAATAGAAATTCAGAAGAATCGAGAACTACATGAAAATTGGCAATCAGGTAATACCTAAAAATAAAAACACAGGGATTGCAACGTCATAGGACGGTGAGTTCAAACCATATGTGACGTCTGTGTGTCTTTTGTGTTACTAGTTTAGAGACCAGAATTTATAGTTTAGTAACTTTTTATACAAGCTTCTACACAATGTTACTGGGTGCTTTGAGTGGTTTTCTGCTATAAATGTTTAAGTACCCAGGATATATTCAAGAAATGCTGCAAATATGATTCTGCTAAAATAATTAGCTTTTATTTGCCTTTATTATTATAGTATTAAAATACATTGTATTAGAATACTTGTATGTATTTACATTTTGTTTTGTTGGATTTCTACTGACAACATGAGTTCATTTTTAGTTTGAAAGTTTCTTATGAAGAAGATGTCTGTCAAAACGTCCAAACCGACGTGGCTACCATACTGGAGATTATTCAGTATTTAGTGTCTTTGTTTATTTTAATGAAATAAATAGCTTCTGTTACACTCAGTATATTACACACTGTCTACTGAACAGGAAACAAAATACGTTGATTCCAAATAATTCGCGGTCACTTGCAGAGAACACTAGGAATTTCCGGAATCCAGGGAACTCATCAGCTGATTTAATACATATTTATATAAACAAATGACAAATGCATTTTCACAACCTGCTCTACGTGAGTACATTTTGAACACCTGACCGCAAATAGGTTTTCCTGAGAACAAATTTTGTGAATCACATTCCATAATGCATAATTAACATGTCTGCTAAAAATTGTGCATTTTTATCTTTCCTTAATTTGCATAATCGTGCACGTAATCTTTAAATTAAAAAGTATTGGTCGTCGTATTTACGCTGTGATGGGTAAACGCAAATTTTCGAATCATTCAAGAGGAGAGGCCCTGAATATTAATAAATTATCAAGGAAGATTTGTTTCAAGTAATTAAAAACAAAACAATTAATTTTTTAATTTTGCTCTTAGAAACTTGAATAAATATGGAGAGATAAATAAATTCTTAATAGGGATAATCAGTTAAATGGAACATTCTGTTTCTAGAATTTTCAGCAAATCTATCTCGCCCAAAATGTATACAAAAGCGAAAAACAAAAAAATATAAAAAAACTTTGAAAAAAGTAGTATGACTGTTCAGAGTTTACAATTTTAGTCACAGTCGTACTATCAGGAAGCTTAGGTTTTACTGCTACATATTATTATTTATTTACAATTTATGAAAAATATTAGAAATGGATAGAATGGATAGAATTCTTTTGCTTGCGTAATGGCTCCCTAATAATGTTTTATTGTAACGCGTGATGGTAATAGTTTAAATAAATAGGTAGATTTCACAGGGCCTAACGACACTTAGAGTGTACGATAATTGAAGAAACATAGAAATCTTAAAAAAATTAAATAAATTTGGAACGAATAGATTGAAGAAGAATTTTTAGAGTCAGAACGTCTGAATCTGGGTCGAGCTAAGGCAGTACAGTATTGGTCATGGAGGCCTGCAAAAAATGAAATAAAATTTCCAGGGCCGTACTTAAAAAAATGAAGTTGATGATGGTCCTGGAGAGACGAAACGTTACATATAAAAATTGATTTTGTCATTCGATAGAGGGCGAAAAGTTGTTATGAGAAAGTGTTCTTCTTTTTTCAATATCACCTCAAACAAGGCTGAAATTAAATAAAAACGGATTTCCAAAATTTCGTTTTTTTTTTTCAAATATTTCGAAAACTAATCATTTAGGTCTTAATTTTTTAGTGGCATAATGTTGGTCGCATTATTATGCAGCTTTCCCCCATTTAAGCTACTTCGTATCTCTTACCGTTTCCGAGATTCCTGTAGTGAGAAGCGAATTTGTAACAGCCTGAATATCTGTTGAGAAAATGCAGAAAAATAGTTGACACTTATCTGCTCCTATTTTTTTTCATGATTTTTCGACTTAACCATTTTACAAACAAAATTTAAGAGGTATCAGAGTTTTATATGGGAATAGCCTCTGAATACATTAACTCAGCAAACATATGTTACAATTAATTAATTATCTGTTATGATAGCAATTTCCTTCAGAAGATTGCTTTCGACGGGATCGTGACATTTGCTGGACCTCCAAAATTTAAGTAAAAAATAATGGATTCCGTTAATTTATTTAATGTTCTACTTTGCAATTATTTCATATGCAAAATATGTCAAGATTAAAATAAGTGTTCCATGATTTGTCTGCAATAAAATATGATGAATATTAGACAATATATATTTATTCTCATGTTTTCTTTAAATAGAACACACTGTATATTTGTACATATTTGGATAGAAGAATTTCAATGATACAATTTTTGAAAAATCTATCTTTAATAGTAACAAAGTTGTAGACAATAGAGTATGCTAATAATAAACTCTTTAGACTCTTTTGGCCATGGCTCTCATATCTGTTGAAATATTGCTATAGGTACTATTTGCTTCTCAAAATTTCTAATCTAGTTAATCAAAAGAAATAAAAGTAGTTGATTTCGAAGAACTACACTTTGGTACATTTCAATTATTTAGTTAAGTATTCATTGTTTGTCCACATGTCTGCTGTAGATACGTAGCAGTGGAAACAACAATAATAATAAACGCCAAGACAACCACAAGGCAATGAAATATAAGTTTACCGTCGCCACATTTAATAAGTTTTAACTCACAAGAAGTAATTAAATGATTCATATTTAATCCACATATCTGCTGCGTTGTACATAAATATCAAAAGCAGATATTATTTTGCGTAACTGGTTCATTCTTAAATACGACTTGGGGTAATAAAATTATTGCAAAAGATATTTACTTGAATCGAGTTTACGACAAGTGACAGTTGCAAAAATGCAAGACTATATGCACAAAAATGACATCGAATTGTAGTAGAATAGAATTCTAGTTATTTATTCGAGTATTCACATTCCTACTCCAATCAAATATTTCATTCTTTTTTGGAATATTGAAGTATATAATTTGAATTTATCAGAAAACGATTGTCATGGATACTTGAAGAACGCTTTTGGAAAGACTAAAATTCAGAACAGTTAAACCAGCTGAAGATTTGATAAAATGAAAGTTATTGAAGAGGCTCGAATAGCATTTTGGAATAGAATGCGATGTGTTAAATTTGGTGAATGATGAAAGACAACTCTTGCAGGGTACAATATTGGTTTGTTACAGCTGACATGCTTGACAGAGCTGACAAAACACAATTTCAAACATTACAAATTCCCGAATTATCCGTCTTACAATCCTTGAATTTCCCCTTACGTCCACAGCATATTTGAATAAGAAATATATATGTAAACTTATGAAATAAAAAAATTGTTATAGTCATAACTGCACAATTGCTATTCTCATAACAGGAAGTAATAAAAAAAATCACCAAACTTGATGATGACGATGAAGATGTCTATTACCATTATGTACTTTTCTTTGAAATCTACGAAGATGGTTTTCCTTCACATGTAGACAAGTGCAACTAAGGAAATCAAAAGAGTGACGTTTTTAACTATAGAAAATTATTTAAATGACATTATTTTTATTAATCTGCAAATTATAAAACGCTTTTTCGAGCAAATATAAATTTTTCATTGCTTGAACGATTTATGAATGATTTGCTGGTCTAAATCAATTACATTAATATAGAGAAAAGATTGGAAGAAGAAGTTGTGATTGGAAATACAATAGTAATTTTCTCGAAAACAAAGTTCTTTTTCTGTGTTATCATTGTATACTTTTAAAAAAGTAGAAAACACACACTTTAGACTGTATAATTGTCTCAGAATGCTGCTTTATTAAAATTAATAAAGTTAAACAATAAACAGAAGTCAAAACAATATTTTGTATAACTACAAATATCCGATTAATAAAAAACAATTAATGAAGAATATTACTTCCAATTCAAAAATACACAAATAAGAATTGTATTTGTATCATACGCGTATGTAATTATAAATCAACATTAATTTTAAATTTGTCCAATCTTTCCTATGTATACAATTTGAATTTTTATTTTTTTAGCAATAAGTTGGCGATAACATAAAAATACTCTCCACTCACCTTATCCTTCCAGCATTTACCGCAAAAATCAACGCGAACCAGCACAAAACCAGCAGTACAGATTTATTGTCACGAAGCATGTGGGTCCACATTATCAGCATATATGTATACAAAATACAAGGCGATGTAGAATTTTTTGCACTGATCTATATATACTGATAAGCGGACTACTAAGATAGAGCAAGGTTACGCTCAGCTTCTTATAGTTTGAAATCATGGCCAACATTAAGAATTAAAACTGTAACAAGCCAACTAGACCTATTGTAGCGTGGAGCGGTCGCGATTGCAATGGATTTCATTTTTATTAAGGTGGCAAACGTGTGAGGATTACTGTTTTACGGCTTTTACGCGGTTTTCCAGTTTTTCAATCACTAAAATTTATTCCTTATCTTAATTTTATTCGGTTTTCGAAGAAAGGCTAAACGTTCATTTGCTAATTAGGTGGCAGCCAATATACGGTGTGTTCAAATCTTTCGTGTTATTTTTCTAATTTGTGTTATACCTTTCCGTATGCAGTGAGTCAATTTTGACACTTTGTAGGACTCTTTTATTTTCCGAAAATACAGGAAGAAAGTTATTTAAATGTTACGATCTTATTTTTCGATAAAAGTTAAATGGCGATTACCATAAATTTTTTATTTGTAATACTGTTTTATTACAGTAAAGAGGTTATTTATTAGTGGTTTTGTTACAATTCAGTGGCATAAGCGGTGTTTTTCTATAATTTCTAATGTTTCATTTATAATCTAAATTGATTTTTCAATGAAACACTACTAATTATAACAACAACACCAACAACAACAATAACAATAACAATAATAATAATAGGTAAGGTACTGGAGTCCCATACGGGAGGCAATCCAGCTATGAGTTGAGATTTCGGAGAACAACAACAATAATAATAATCAAGGGCGAAAATATTAGTAAATTCAACAAAGCTCTTATATGCGTATGACATAAAGTGAGAACAAGAAATCAAAGAACAGCGTAATCATGACAAAAACAAGTTAAATGTGAAACAAAGGAGTTGTTTTTGCAATATCTGGGCAGTCACGACAAAATATACATATTTTAACATGTAATAAATAATGAGCAATCTTTAATAATAATTGTAACAATTTTATCTTAGAAAAATATACGCCCCTGAGCGTAAGACAATGAA